GTTATTCGTATACAGTATGTAGTAGGCTATATTAATAGCCTATAACAAAATATATTAATTAGATGGTAATTTATCACCAAGAACACATCCACTGAAGCCAAGCAGGGTTGAGCTTGGCCAGTACCTGGATGGGACACTAGCAGGGGGGCATCACCATTAGGTCGTTGTGGGTCCTAACGCCCCATTAATGAGGACACTACACTGTAATAGGACACAGTCCTTCAGATGAGACATTAAATCGAGGTACTGACTCGCTGTAATCATTAAAAAAAATCCCATGGCACGTATACTCACTCTACCCTCCACCTTTAGCTGGTGTGTGGTGAATGGTGATGGAGCTGCCATCACATCATCCAGGTGAATGCTGCTGAACACTGGTGGTGGTGAGGAGAGAACCCAATTCCATTGTAAAGTGCTTTTAATGTAGTTGTATCTAAAAGTATATAAAATGCTTCATTATTCATTGTAGGATCAGATGTGATCTGCTTCATAAATTCAGGGTTGTAGCTTTAAGGGGAGGTGCTAGCTACAGACACTAGATGATGATGAATAAATGTTTATTTCAGGAAGACTTTGACATGCAGATGAACTAAAATATCACCCTGAAACATTATGCTTTGTTTTTTGCTTTTGCTTTTTTCTCTTGCTTGTAAGTATTTCATCTCAACCCTTAACATTTGTCTTAATTTGGTTATTTCTTTCCTTTATGACATAAAAAAAATGATGGTAATCTCATCTGCAGGTGTGAGTTTTGGGAATGTCATCACACCAGTTGAAACTCATATGTTTGGGACAGAAGGGGAGATTATAAGTCTCTCCTGTAGTTACTCCTCAGCAAACAGTCTGTTTTGGTATCGCCAATATCTTGGATCGGCTCCTGAATTTATTTTCGTTATTCTTCAAGCCACTGGGGCAGTTTTACAAAAATCTAATGTTTTGGATCAAGATCCTCGATTCTTTGCGAAACTGAATGAAGAGAAAACCCATGTGGATCTGGAGATCTCCTCTGCTAAAGTGACAGACTCTGCGATGTACTACTGTGCCATGGAGCCCACAGTGACAGGAAAACAAACTACACTGTACAAAAACCTCACTTACCGTTAAAGCATTTACCATATACAGATATTTTCATGTGCCATTTGGAGGATTTACTGTTAAATATAAAAAAGGTCCAGCAAACCAAAAAACCTTGTACATACATGTTTTCATGTTATAATTTATAGTACTCTTCTTTACAAGCATATAGTTAAAAATGCTTTCTCTGTGTAATTCCTAATTTCTATTTGTCTACATCTAAAAAGAAACATCCCTTTTTCAGGATACAGTATTTTAAAGGTAATATTGTACAATCCAAAAAAGCTTTACGTATCTTTCTTGGAAAGGGTTTAAACAATACTTTTCATGCACCTGTGCAATTAACGTCACAGTTCCAATAACTTAGGACACTGAAAAGACCTTTCCACTAACTCTGAAAGAGAAACAGTCCCTGATCACCTGTGTGAATGTAACCGGTCCTACTCGACCCGCTCCAAGCGGGATTCGACCAGGGTCTCTGGCGTGGGAGTGCTACTGCTAACAAGGACCGTAGCCTCTAGTGTAAGTCGCTACGTGCCTCTTGAGCTCAGGGGAGTGAGGTTTACAGAACACACACAGCTCTTACGGTCCTACGTCCGTTGCACTTACCCCCTAAACGTCACTCAGATCCGGGTCAACAGCACCAAATGTAACCAGTACTACTCGGCCCGCTCCGAACAGGATTCGAACCGGGGTCTCGGGCGTGGGAGTGCTACTGCTAACAAGGACCGTAGCCTCTAGTGTAAGTCGCTACGTGCCTCTTGAGCTCAGGGGAGTGAGGTTTACAGTACACACACAGCTCTTACGGTCCTATGTCCGTTACACTCACCCCCTAAACCTCACTCACATCCGGGTCACCAGCACCAAATGTAACCAGTACTACTCGCGCTAACAAGGAAGCTAAAAACCATGGTTGATAGCAAAAGTTGCTAGCATGCATCTTGAGGCCAGGGGAGTGAGGTTTACATCCACAGCTCTTACTAGCCTACGTCCGATACATGAACATGTGGATGCTGTAGGGAGGCATGAGGACTGCAGATGTGGACAAAGCAATAAACTGCAATGTCCGTAATGTAAGACGCCTAAGACTGCAGTGCTACAGGGAGAAACGAAGGACAGCTGATCGTCCTTGCAATGCCTAGTTGCAGTGTTATAATACGCCCCCCCCCCCAAGACGTGGTCGAGACTCGAGAACTTGCAAATGCCTTGGTGGAAGAGTGGGTGATCTCACAGGAAGAACTGGCAAATCTGGTGTAGTCCATACATTTGATAATGAAATGCTGTCATATATTGTGAGATGCGGTCTGAATGTAGCAAGGTGTAGGAAGTGCATAACTCAAGTTTTGTGCGATACCGTAGAACCATCGACATTTCCCACAGTAAGTCATTACCATAGACCGCACAATGCAGTGAGGCAACTGAACAAAACATGCTGTTCTGTGTTTTAGCAGAAGGGGGCAGCATAATACAAGTGAAGATTCACCTTCCATTGGTCAAACATTTCCCTGACATACAAGCTTCTGCCAGGCCTCAAGTATTTGTTTGGAGCATGTTTACTCATTTAGCCCGGCTCCCAGAGAATAAATATGTACTTGTTTTGTAATTAATTTCTCAAAAATTTATTGAGTTATATTTTGTAGAAATAATTGTCAGTTTGAACTCAAGTCTCAGTTCTACCAGAAAGACTCGGGAGAGAAGATACTGTACAATTATGCATTTTATTAACAGCCCAGCAAGCAATATATGCAATAAAGTTCTTTGGCGTAGGCCCCGTCTGTAACTCGTGATCCGAGGGTACGGATACTGCATTTCCTGCCTGAAGATGAAGGCAGGGGCGCAGCCGACCCCCCTTGGGGTATTGGAAGGGACCATCCTGGTGGTGGTGGGAAGGATGGAGGGAAGACCATCTTGGTGGAGGTGGGGAGGATGGTGGTAAGTGGAAGCGTCAGCATCTGCGAACTCAGACGAGTGTAAGTATGGATCTTTTATACTTCTCGTATTAGAACGCGATTGGATAGATGAGAAGGTAATAAATGACGTAACAATTGAGTCTTCCTGGCAGAACTTACGCTACGCTTTCATTTCTTATTTTATTCTGTGCCCTATGTGGACATATTTTCCTGTTCGGTTCTAGTGAAGTCAGTCCTGACAAAAACTGCAAAAACTTGCTTGTTTTATCTAATTGTGCTCGCAGTGGTTGTTTATTATTTTTAGAGGCATGGGGCCATGCCAAAGGAAAAGTCTCCAGGAGAGTTTAACAGTGGCCAAGATGAAAAGAGTCTTCCCAGAATTTATGACTCACCTGTGACCCATACCAAAGTAAGACATAGAGGCCTGGTTTCACAGACAGGGCTTAGATTAAACAAGGATTATTTACATAGCTTTTATAAACATGCCTTAGAAAAAAAAAGAAAAAAACATTACTGGTGTGCATCTTGAGACAAAACAATGGCACTGACATTGTGCAGAAACAAACAGTTGAGTAAATACTGGTCATTGCAGTTGATGGATGATGGAATGATCTTACAGATTCTGGCTGGAGAATAAACTGTTGGAGCACACACCTAAGTATTGTGGTGGAGTATGGGATGCTGGTGAGTATCGCAGGAAAAGACAACACACTTGGAGAAACACAACGGAGAATAGCAGGTAGCCTGAGTATGCTGAAGATGATTCACATCCACAAAAGATCAGGAGATCACAGTAATAGGTCTGTTTCCTAATCCAATGCTAGACAAGTGGCTGAACTGAGGTGTGTGCTTTTATGTGGTGGTTGATGAGGTACGTTAATGAGTGATCAGAACTCTGGTTATTGTGATCGTTGAGTGGTGGTGGTGAGAGAGCCTGGTGAACCTGTGACATCACTAACCACACCCACAATATTAGTGCACAATGGAACTTCAGTCGGTGCATTCATTTACTCCTGAATATAATGAACACCAGTTTCATTCACAATATAAAGCAATATTCAGGTAAAAAAAAAAAAAAATCCAATAGTAATAGAAATACAAACCTGTGGACTGCCAACATGGAGGGACATATGCTGCTCATGATTGTCATTGTTACAGGTAAACTGTACTAAATCAGCTGGACAAACAACATCCCATTTTTATATAAAAGCAATTATCACATGATGTTTTTGTTTAATATTTATCTATTTTATAATTGAAAAGACGCATTTACAACAAGTTTTATTTAAATATAATCCACCTGATCAGAGATTACAGAACAATTGTTTTAATTTAATTTCAGGTGTGTTTTCTGACAGCATTGGACCAAGAGAAGAAAATACTAATATAATCAAGGAGGAAGGAGAGTCAGTGACACTGAGCTGCACATATGAAACTAACAGCAATTATGTTTGGCTTTACTGGTTCAGACAGTATCCAAACGGAGAACCTCAGTATTTACTGTGGGAAGGTGCTCGATCAGAGAGTGGTGATGGGGATAAATCAGACCGTCGGTTTCAGTCAACAACATCCCAATCATCCACTGAACTCATTATTAATAAAGCAGATCTGTCATATTCAGCTCTCTATTACTGTGCTCTAAGAATTGTAGCCCAGTGATACAAAATGCTTGAGAGGCTTTACAAAAACTAAAATACGCAATGTGCTTTAAACAGTCTTTAATCTATAAGCATCAAACCACAATTTATTATTTTTTTTGTAAACCACAGCTCTGGATGTAACAGTGTGGCAACACCTGTGAATATGGGAAATTATTTTTTTTTTAAATTGTACAAAAACACAAAAAAATTCTTCTGATGTATGTATAGTTCTCTGTCCATTATCTTCAATAGATTAAGCGGATCTGCATAGTGGTCATGTATAATGGAAAGAGGAGGAGTTTAGCACAGACATTAGTGCTCAGATGTAGGTAACAATCAAGCAGCTGCTTGCTTCCTGGCAGCTTGTTGAGTGAACATGTTCATCTATATTATGATACTGATGTCGTCAACTGAAGGTATAATATTGCATTATTTAAGAAAAATATCACAATAAGGAAATTCAATGAAATGCATAATTTAATTTAATTGTTCTTTTTAATGATTTTTGTTCCAATGTTAAATACACTAAAAGATTCATATATTAATGTTGTTGTTTTTTTACAAGATGTGTATATGTCCTAAACTTAATGCAACTTTAAATTACAGGGTCCAGAGCCACAGAAGTCATCACTCCAAAAAGTGAGAGAGTATTTGCACTTGAGGGTGACAATGTGACACTCTCTTGTAACTACAGCAGTTCTGCTCGTGGAGTTCACTGGTATCGCCAATACGCAGGCTCACCACCACAGTTCCTTATACTGGAATATTCAGGGGTAACTACTGAAGCTGATCCCCCCGTTCTAAGAATAAGTATCAATCACAGAAAAGAGCAAAGTCATGTTGATCTGGAGATCTCCTCTGCTGAAGTGTCAGACTCTGCTGTGTATTACTGTGCTCTGCGGCCCACAGTCACAGGAAACACTGTAACACTGTACAAAAAAGCCTTCATCACAGCATCACTGTAGCTAGTCTGCCAATGATAACACCATCCAGGAATGTAGGAGTACTGTTCGTGTTCGATGACCAGCTGAATGTCTGCTTTTCCCTAAATTGGATGAATGGTTGAATTAAGTTCCATGAATCATCAAAGTAGCAAGATAGAAAAACAAACCTGTGAATGTGTCTATCTGGTGAGTGATGTCACTAACCACACCCATTTACAAATACACATTAAAACTTCAACATTCATTCAAACCGTCAGTGAAAACTTCTTCATTCACATGAAATACAAGGATTCCCTGAAGTCCTTCATTGCAGTGTCTCTTATCCCAGCGAACATAATTTGGCTTAAAACAAAATAAATCACTCGGAATATTAACATGGACAGATGCAAATTGCTGATTCTCATGACAGGTACTTTTTTCAAAAGTGTAATTGCTCAAAAGTTTGGGATCAGTAATTTTTTAAAAAGAAAATAATACTTTTATTCAGGAAAGATACATGAAATTGATCATAAGTGAGATTAAAGACATTTCTGATGTTACACAATATTTCTATCTCAAATGCTTTTCTTGAGCACAAACATCAGCATATTAGAATGATTTCTGAAGGATCACTGAAGACTGGAATAATAGTGGCTAAAATATAGTAATTTTAATCTATTTTAAACTATTATTATATTTCACAATATTACCGTTTTACTGTATTATTGATTAAATAAAGGAACCCTTGGTGAGCATAAGAGACTTCTTTCAAAAACACTAAAAATTCATGCTGACCCCAGACTTTTGAATGATAGCGTATATAAATTATTTAATTAGTATTTTTTAGTATTTAAAGGGATAGTTCACTTTGAAATAAATTTTTGATATGTTTTAGCTTACCTCAAGGGCATCCAAGAAGGTGTCTTTGTTTCCGCAGTAATTTCAATTTTGATATTTTTAGGTCAAACCGTTCTTGTCTGTCAGTCATATAATGCAGGTCTATGGTAACTTCCTCAAAGAGCATGCACAGAGAACTCCAAATTAAACATGATTTAATGACTCGTAAATGTAAGTACACATTGATGGCCTAAGACACGAAACGAGCGGTTTGTGTGAGAAAACGAACAGTATTTATATTGTTTTTACCTCTTGTAACGCACAGACCGAAGCGCCCGCGCCCTCAGATCACTTGGACGTGGCTGTGGTTACAAGAGGTAAAAACGATATAAATACTGTTCGTTTTCTCACACAAACCGCTCGTTTCTTGTCTTAGGCCATCAATGTGTACTTACATTTACGAGTCATTAAATCATGTTTAATTTGGACTTCTCTGTGCATGCTCTTTGAGGTGGTGACCATAGACCTGCAGACTGACAGACAAGAACGATTTGACCTAAAAATATCAAAATTGAAACTACTGCGGAAACAAAGACACCTACATCTTGGATGCCCTTGAGGTAAGCTAAAACATACCAAAAATTTCAAAGTGAACTATCCCTTTAAGTATTTTCCAGGGTTATTTTTATTATCGTTCTAAAGCACACATTTTCTTGTAGGTGTATTTGTTGACAGCATTGTTCCAAAAGAAGGTACAAATAAACCCAGGAGAGAAGGAGAGTCTGTGACACTGAGCTGCACATATAGCAGAAAAAATGTTTACCTGTACTGGTTCAGACAATATCCTAATGGAGAACCTCAGTATTTGCTGTTTAAAGATGCTGGCTCGTCCAATGAAGGGAATGTATCGGACAGTCGTTATAAGTTAACTATATCCCCTACATCCACTTCACTCACTATTAACGATGTGAATCTGTCAGATTCAGCTCTCTATTACTGTGCTCTTAAGAGTAGGAGCCCAGTGATACAAAGTCCACAGACGCTTTACAAAAACACACACAATTAGTGTGTCAGTTATCCACCACATCTCTGTGTCTTAAACCACAAGACAACAGGATGTGCTCACACCTGCTGAAGAAGAAAAAGGAAGAAAAAAACAGTCAAATGCACCCTCTTCACCTCTTTTATTGGTTAGGTCCACCTCTTCAGGCTTCCTCTACTTAGTTGTTGTGAACCTAAAGCAATTAATCACAAAAGTGTATGGTGGCAATGCAAGTATTTCTTTAGTGGCATCTACTGTACAACTATGGAAGTGCATTTCTCAGGGAGTTTAAAATAAGAAAAAACTGTTTATATTTAAAAATGGGTTCCCATATTTTGCAGTTTGTGAGCTACAGCTTTAAGGGGAGGGACTAACTAGAGATAAAAAAAAAATGAAAAATGAAATGCTTTCTTTAGTACTAGCAGGTGTTTCAGATTAACTTATATCGTCCTGAAAAATGATACTCTTTGTTTTTATTGTGCTCTCCTTTGCAAGTATGTATTCTGTTCTAGTCTGTCAGGATTTTTCTTTATTGCTTGTTTGTCCTTTTTTCACTTTTAAGATTAACATGTAAATTTTTTAATTTTTAATTATTAATTATTTTTTTCTTTCTGCAGGTGATATTTTTGGGAATGTCATCACGCCTGTTCAAACTAAAGTATATAGAACAGAAAATGAAATGATATCCCTGTCGTGCAACTACTCCTCTGCAGTGAGTCTATATTGGTATCGCCAATATCCAAGATCAGCTCCTGAATTTCTTTTCGTCATTCTACATGCAACTGGGAAAGTTTTACAGAAGTCTAAAGTTGTTGATCTAGATAATCGATTCTCTGGAAAACTGAATAAGGAGAAACCTCATATGTATCTCGAAATCTCTTCTGCTAAAGTGACAGACTCTGCGATGTACTACTGTGCCCTGGAGCCCACAGTGACAGCAAAACAAACTACACTGAACAAAAACCCTCCCTATAGAGGGTGAACCACCGTCAACGCATCACAGCCAACCAGCAGAAATATTGGGGGGAAAATATGTGAACCATATGGAACCATAGGCCTAATTAAGAAAAAAATAAGTGAGAATGGTAGCAGTGGACTTCCTTCAGTGAGATTAGATTGCCATCTGGTGGGCTAGTAAAATAAAAGCCAATAGCGATGCACTCATTTTTTCAATCAAGTTCTAATTTCAAAATTAGTCAGATTGATTGCAGCTGGTGAATTTTGCTTTTTTAAGAAATCAAATGTTTAAGCTAAAAAGTGTATCTTTTATTGTTTTAGTTTTGGAGGTATAGAATATTGATTCATCAATAACCTTTGGCCATCTAATTAAACTAAATATGCCAATTTCTGTCGAAGAGTTGTTCCGGTGCAACTGCAAGAAGAAAAAAAAACATAGAAAGAATATATTAAACACAAAATCAGCAACACTTGCATGGAGATTTTGGTTAATTTCTCCATTCCTCAAGTGTTTTTGGGATTAAAAATGTAATTATATGTCAAGAGGCGGAGCTTAACAAAGGCCTGTAAAACACAGACTAGTTCAGTAATCATCACAAATCACGGAGGGAAGCAGGAACCTGTTCATCATGTTCACTTGTGTACTTATATTGCTGACTTTAACTCAAGGTAAAATCTTACATCATTATATCACAATATCTCATTTTAAACATGCTGAAATAGGGTTTTGTTGCAGGTAACAGAGCTAAAGATGCCATCACTCCATACAGTGATGCAACATTTGCCACTGAGACTGAGAGTGTTAAACTTTCTTGTAACTACACTGGTTCTGTTGACAGTCTTCACTGGTATCGACAATATGCAGGTTCACCACCACAATTCCTCATACTGGACTACTATGGAACAAAGACTCAAGCTGATCCTCCAGTTTCTGGAATATCCATTAGCCACAGAAAAGAAGCCAGCAGTGTGGATCTGGAGATCTCCTCTGCTAAAGTGACAGACTCTGCTCTGTATTACTGTGCTCTGCAGCCCACAGTCACAGGAAACACTCAACACACCATACAAAAACCTGAAAAACTTAAAGCAAAAATTTGTAATGATGTCTAGCCATCTATAGAATATATAATTGAGCTATTGAATAACTATTTGATTATTAATTTACTGTGAGCTTTGTATTCAAAAATACAGATGTACAATGTTGATTAAACCCATTGGTAATGTTTATGAATTTTAAATTGAAATGATTAGACAAGATGAATTTAAAATTGTTAGTCAGTAAAGTCACACTTTATTCTGAAACAAACTGTCATGCTTTTCTTTCACTGTCTTCTTGAAATGAATTGTTTTCCCATGAAAGGCAATATAGTGTAAACCTGGGAAAACATTTCTGTTTTGTGACAACAAAGGTTACCATAAATTCATGTTCACTATTTAGTTGAAGCAATTTATTTGTCTCCATTATGAATGCATCAGTTTTGTAATACATGTAAATGTGTGTCATCTGCCACTAGAGGGTGAAGTTGGAACAAAAAAAGATAGATGCAACTGAGAATGACTATTTCCTTTCAAAATGCTCATGGTTTTTTACCTTTAGTTTTACACACAGAATATTGGTGACAAAGTAATCAAAGATATCAAACACACAACAAGACATTAACTCTGAGCTAATAGATCAAGTTCAATAGATCAAAAATCTCAGTTTTAATGTAGCAAGACAGAAGGTGGTTTAAATATCAGAAACCCAAACCACACCCACATTTACAGACAATATAGCTGCACAAATGACTCTCCGTTACATTCATACATTTACCTTTCAATTTGAAATCATAAAGCATATATTCATGATGGAGAGATGTATCCTACTGATTCTAACAGTACCAGGTAAAGTGCACTTCATATATCAGCACTAGACTAAAATATATTGAGGATTCAAAGTGTTAATTATGCACATTATTTAATAGATAATGCTGACATCATTGTTCAATTTAATGTTGTTCATTTATAGCACTGTAACTGTTATAACAACAGAAAGGATAGTTCAATATTATTAATTCTCTTGCAGGTATATTTGCTGACAGCATTGAACCAAAATACAATGATATGATCAGAAGAGAAGGAACGTCTGTGACACTGAGCTGCTCATATGATACAAGCAGCAGTAATATTATGCTTTTCTGGTACAGAGAGTTTCCAAACAAAGAACCTCAGTATTTACTGCGGAAAGGTGCTCAATCATGGAGCCATATTGAAAATATACCAGATCCTCACTTTCAGTCGACTACATCACAAACATCCACTGAGCTCATTATTAATAGTGTAACACTGTCAGATTCAGCTCTCTATTATTGCGCTCTGGAGCCCAGTGATACAAAGTCTATGTGAAGCTGTACAAAAACTGAAAATCATTTTTCATTTGATCTTAAGCCACATCAAACCCACAATCTATAACTCACACAATATAATTACACTTTTGAAGACACCTGTGTGTGGTTACGGAAGAACATTTAGTTCAAGTTATAAAGGCAAATTAGATGAAAATGAGAAGAGATCAAAATAAAAGAGACATAATACATATTCGATTCTCCTCCTTAATAACATTTACAATACAATCAGCTGGACAAATGTGACTTACCATTACATTATTATTTATTACTGCACATTTCATGTAGTGCCCCATAATACAAAGTGCCTGAGAGGCTTTACAAAAATGTACATGAAATCACACACAATTATTGTTTTAAAGTTGAACAGTATCTAATAATCTACAAATAAAACCACTGCTGTTATTTACATAAGCCACAAAGGCTCTGTGAATAACAGGATATGGTAATGTTCCTGTTCAAATTTAACTGAGATAAAAGAATAATGGTTTCATTGGGTTATTATTGATATAAAAAAGTGACTGTTATAGTGTTCTTGCTGGTGTTTCATAAATGATAAACTGCTCCTTCATTTGACTTTCCCTGTCAAAGTGAGTCAATGTATAAGCAAGTTAAACATGTTTCTATTGTCACTGATAAACTTAAAGAACAATAATAAAATATCACTCTTGCAGCAGATTATTTGAATATGAAGACTGTAGCTTTAAGAGGAGGTGCTACAGCTGAAGACATCCTCTGCAAGACAATGAATGAATATTTACTTCAGTAACAACACTGTCCTGAAGATGAACTGAACTAAAACATCATACATGATGCGTTTAGTTATGGTTTTGCTTTGTTCTCTAATATGTAAGTCTATTCCAAAGTGTCAGGCTTTAATCATATTTCTTGTTTGCTGTTCTGTTGTGGCATGAGACATGTTAATTTAATTTTTTTAACTTCCTGCAGGTGTGAGTTTTGGGAATGTCATCACACCAGTCCAAACTAAGATGTCTGGCACAGAGGGGGACAATATAACTCTGTCCTGTAGCTACTCCTCTGCAGTTAGTCTACAGTGGTATCGCCAATATCCCAACTCAGCTCCTGAATACCTTTTAGTCATATTTCATGCTACAGGGAAGGTTTCTCAAAAGTCCAAAATTGTAGATCTAGATCCCAGATTCTCTGGAAAAGTGAATGACAAGAAAACCCATGTGGATCTGGAGATCTCCTCTGCTAAACTGACAGACTCTGCGATGTACTACTGTGCCCTGGAGCCCACAGTGACAGGAAACTGAATATTACTGTGCAAAAACTGTAGAAAAAGGCATAAAACACATCATATCCCAGTTCAATTAAACATTTGAGAAATTACATCAACAGATCAACTTGAGAAAATAACAAGTGTAAGATAATTTATGTATTTATCCTTTATAATATATGTTAATTTCTGTGCTTTATAAGAGGGTTCTGGCAGAAGGCGGAGCTTAACACAGGCCTGTAAAACACAGACTAGTTCAGTAATCATCACAGATCACGGAGGGAAGCAGGAACCTGCTCATCATGTTCACTTGTGTACTTATATTGCTGACTTTAACTCAAGGTAAAATCTTACATGTATCATTATATCACAATTATTCATTTTAAACATGCTGAAATAGGGTTTTGTTGCAGGTAACAGAGCTAAAGATGCCATCACTCCATACAGTGATGCAACATTTGCCACTGAGACTGAGAGTGTGAAACTTTCTTGTAACTACACTGGTTCTGTTGACAGTCTTCACTGGTATCGACAATATGCAGGTTCACCACCACAATTCCTCATACTGGACTACTATGGAACAAAGACTCAAGCTGATCCTCCAGTTTCTGGAATATCCATTAGCCACAGAAAAGAAGCCAGCAGTGTGGATCTGGAGATCTCCTCTGCTAAAGTGACAGACTCTGCTCTGTATTACTGTGCTCTGAGGCCCACAGTCACAGGAAACACCCGACACACCATACAAAAACCTGATGATGTCTTACAGTTTGATTCTGATGTTACATTCAAATTCATATAAATATTTACATTTTCTGGCTGGTTAGAATTTCTTTAACTTTATGTACATGCATTGATAGATTCAAATTATTTTATTAGAGCATTTCAATGAACATTGATGGAATAACAAACTATATTCTCAGATGTGTCATGTTTAAAAATATATATAAATAATCATCCATCACATTCATCATCTTTTTCAGATTCACAAATTGTTAGACTTGGGGACGTTGTCAATGAGTGAATAAATATTTGTTACATCACCTCTGGGGGGTGCTGTGTACATTAAAATATTTCAGAGAGGATACCCAACTGTCTCTGTAATAAATGTGCATAAGACGACGGTCCCTTTACCATCTGAATACATCTTAAATTTGGTGAAACTGTCCTTAACTGTCATGAAAATAAAGCCACAATGCTAAAAATCCTAATAGTCTAAACAAGCTTCATGTCCTCAAAGCAAAATATAATTACTTGGGTAAAATATAAACATGTTTCACATAGAATTGTGAAATTTACTGAAATGAATCATTATGTGACAGATTTAAAGTTATGGGTATAGGCCTAGGCCTAAAGATTTAGTTTTTCCTCACTCATTGCACTTGATCAATAATTTATAAGATATCAATCAACATACCATAACAAAATGTGACAAGACTGCAATAATGCTACAAGCACAAACCTCACTAATAATAAATATTCTAACTCCACTAAATAGCCTATTTTGTTTAGCTTTGAATGATCCTTATAGTAAGATAATGAACATAATCAAGTCACACTTGCTGATTAAACTGAATTAGTGGAGAAAAATAAATACGTATTCAACAAAAAGCATAGTTAGTTTTTGAGCCATTCATAGACTGAAGGAAAGACATAAGGAAAGACAGAAAAGGAGGTCTAAATAAACCACACCCACATGAAAGCTTCACAATACACTACTACAATCATCCATTTACTGTTTAGCTTCAGTTTATAAAGCAAGTTAGTAAATCTCAACATGGATAAATGTTTTTTGATGATTCTTATATCTGTGCCAGGTATAAAACGTTTAATCTAAACAGACTCAAATATAATGTACATTTAAAAAAAAAAAATTTGTTATTGGTATTGTATATATTTGGTATTATTTTTGGTATTGTAATTTTCATTTATGTTAATGTTTGGATAAGTAGACAAGCCTTCTGACCTGTCATGAAATCTGTCTAATTCTCTTGCAGGGTTTTTGTCTGACAGCATTGGACCAAAAGACAAGGAAACTAATATAAACAGAAATGAAGGAGAGTCTGTGACACTGAGCTGCTCGTATGAGGCAAGCAGCACTTACATCTATCTCTACTGGTATAGTCAGTATCCTAATAGAAAACCTGAATTTTTACTGTGGAAAGGTGCCCAGTCAAGGAGCAGTAGTGAGAATATACCAGACCGTCAACGGTTTCAGTCGACTACATCCCAAACATCCACTGAACTCATTATTAACAGTGTAACTCTGTCAGATTCAGCTCTCTATTACTGTGCTCTAAGTGTAGCAGCCCAGTGATACAGAATGCCTGAGAGGCTTTACAAAAACTCACATGCAGTTTTTGCCTCGATTCAAATCAGAATTAAACCACAACTTTATCTTGTGTAAACCACAAGACAATATTGTGACACCTGTTGGGAGAAAAACTTGTGTGCTAGGAGGAAACTATAAAGGAAGATTTTAATTCATTGTTTGTGTCATTCCACAGTAATCCTTTCCACAAAAGAGACTGAGAATAAATTGTCCTTGCTAAAATCGCAATAAAACTAAAAAGTATAAATATTAAGCATAAATATAAATATATTACAATTTCAGTTTTTTAGTGCTATCATCATCAGTAGATATACACTGACTAAAATAAAGAGACCAAAATAGAGAACATCAAATTTTCCATGTTTCTCTACCTTCTGCACAAAACACGGGCTATTAGTGGTACTACAGTAAAACTCCTGACCTATGTCCTCATATCTGACACATCTATCAAATGCTATTTGATTATTATTATGATTATGGATTCAAAGCTGTATGGACTGCAGCTTTAAGGGGAGGAGTTCATTTGAGACCATTTCCTTTACTTGACAAGGAATGAATGATTAGACGAACAGCAGTTTGTGCAAAATGATTGTCTGCTTTCACATTTTCCTTTGCTACCTTTGTGTACATTTTATGGATTAAATATACTGAATTATTTTCATTACAACTTTAAACTAACATCATAAGTGTTATGATGTTTCAATAAATGATTGCATGTTGTATGAATTTTGACTCTTGCAGGTGACACTTTTGGGAATGTCATTATCACTCCAATCCAAAATGAGGTGTTCCGTCTAGAGGTCTGGTCTTGTAACCACTCTTCACTCTATAGTGGTATTGCCATTATCCTGGACATGCTCCAAAATATATATATTTTCATTCTATATGCTACTGGGAAAGTTACACAAACATCAGAATTTGTTAGTGTACATCCTCAATTTCCAGGAAAACTGAATAAAAAAAAAAACTCATGTGGATCTGAAGATCTCCTCAACTTAAGTGAGGGATTCAGCGATGCACTACTGTGCCATGAAGCCCACAGAGACAGGAAAACAAACTACACTGTACAAAATCTCCAAAAGGTCACACATCACATCAAGACAATATCAGAAAACTGCATTCTGAAAGACTCAGACAACTGGACATTAAAGAGTCTCTTAAGGAGTGAGTGTCATAAGTTTTAACTCGTGTTTTTCTTCAAAGAGCCATTCTGATCAGCATTACAACAAAACTTCTGACCTGTGTTCATGTTGACTCCATACTTTCGCTCAGTCTGTTTTTCAATGCCGTTTCAATTGCAGCTTTAAGGGGAGGAGCTTGCTTGAGACACCTTCTGTTTGACAAGGAAAGAATGCAAAGTTTAGCTGAACAACAGAACTACAAATTCATCATGCTTATCAACATGTTGCTCTTCTTAACTGGTCTGATTTGTTCTCTTATATGTAAGTATTCCATTGCAGACAGAATATTTGTTTGTCTCTTCTATTACTTTTCTTGTTATTAATGAATATGTTGTTTGTTTTTATGTACATTATATTTTGATTCTTGATTTTGAAGGTGGCAGTTTTGCAAATATCACGCCAGTCCAGACTGAAGTTTATGAGAAAGAGGGAGAAAATGTTACTCTGTCCTGTAACTACTCCTCAGCATCAACACTACAGTGGTATCGACAATATCCCGGATCAGCTCCAGAATTTCTTCTGGTCATTATACAGTCCACAGGAAAAGTTTCACAAAAGTCAGATATTGTGGATCGAGATCCTCGATTCTCTGGAAAAGTGAATAAAAAGAAAACCCATGTGCATCTTGAGATCTCCTCTGCTAAAGTGACAGACTCTGCAATGTATTACTGTGCCATGGAGCCCACAGTGACAGGAAACACAAGAACTCTGTACAAAAACCCTCTCAACACCAACACCATATACTGGTGAATGTACAGTGCAGTACAGTACAATGCATTACATGTCTTCATAAAATATCTGCAAATAAATAAAAATTAAAATAAAACCTTGTCCATATAAATACATGTTTTTTAGAAGCAGTCAAGAAAATAGTTTTCATGCAAAAAAACTGAATCACAAGAACACTACTCAAATACATCTCAACAACTAATAAAACTTTTAGTAAAAATAGGCTTTTATGTACAAGAGTACAAATTAATTTCAGAAGTTTAGTACTTTTATGATATTAGCTCGCCACCTGCTGGAAATTGTAGGAACATCATAGAAATCTTAGAGAAATGCAGATGAATCATGTATGACAAACAGCTGACATCATTTGTACTTCCTGCTTTTGCATTCACCCCAAGACATTTAAAGATCAACCTCTCAAGAAAGAAACATTAAGACTTATCTGATGTGATCATGGAAAGAGTCCAAATGGCCAGTCAACAAATAGAAAAATATCTGGTGATTCTCCTTATAGTATCAGGTACAATCCAAAGTTCCAATACATAATTTGCATGCTTATTCAGATCTTTAAATATCTATACATCTTAATTTAAACAAATGTATATTATTAAAACAATTCCCCTCCAGGTGTTATCTGTCAGGATCGGATTGGACCCAGTGACCAGAGGACCAGCGTTATTAGTACAGAAGGAGATTCAGTGACACTGGAGTGTACATACTATTCAAGCAGCAGCTATGTTCTCCTTTATTGGTACAGACAGTTTTCTAACACACAGCCACAATTTGTGCTGGTGAAAGGTGGAGGATCAGAGACATATGAGAATATACCAGACCGTCGATTTGGATCAACTACATCCCAGACATCCACCTCACTGACCATTACAACTGTAACTCTGTCAGATTCAGCTCTGTATTACTGTGCTCTAAGAGTAGCAGCCCAGTGATACAAAATGCCTGGCAGGCTTTACAAAAACTCACTCAGAAAACTTGCTTTGAACAGTAAGTTATCAAATTAATATCAAACCACATTTTTTTTCTTTATAACCCCCAGAGCCCAATTGCAGGATATGGTAACACCTGTTGGAAATAAACAAAGAGTTGCATGTAGGCCTAACCTAGGCTGAAATGTTTACATCAGGTAGGTAGTGATGTGACAGTTGAACCGAGGCGTCGGAGCTTGTGTCGAGAAAAAATGGGCGTGCCAGATGAAGCCGCGATTCGAGGCCTGTGTTGTTAACGTGAAAATCACGTGATTAATGACAAACGAGGCCTCGGTTTGTGTGGATACGTCATCGGTTCGGTCTGAGTGTCGCTTCCGGATAAAGGGGGTTCGAAACTCGCGCCACCTTCTGGGTGTTGCAGGAGTAGTAGAAGCATATGTAGTAGAGTCAGAGTTAGAGAAATCTCATTGTCGTTATTGTGTCATATATGTGTTAGGGCTGTATATTATTACATTATATCAGGTTAGAATAGTTATTAATAATAATGAATAATTGTTATTATTAATTATAGTAGCTATATTATAGTCTTGTTATATTAATTAGATAAGATTATTTGGATTGCTTTGGATTTTTGGTAGCTTAGATTTTTGGATCTGGACTGGACTGCTTTTTAATTTGGATTGCCCTTTTGGATTTGTTTGCTTTTTATGACATCTTCCTTTTTCATGGTAATGGAGCCAGCAAGAAAGAGGAGATCCTCCCCTGTCTGGGCTCAACAGAAGCATCAGTATCTTCATTTATACCCGCTGGCACTGACATTTTATGTTCCCCTGCATCCTCTGTTCCTTGTGAAAGGATATTTTTCCAAGGCTGGTGAGGTTTTGTCCAAGAAGAGGAATTGTCTAGACCCCAACACTTCAAAAAATTCATTTTCTCAATAAAAATCTATTGCAATCCTTCCATCATCCACCCCAAACTGTGGTGTTTACTGCAGTTTACTTTATTACACTTCCTCGAGTCCCTCCACCATAAGCACTGCACTCAACACAGTCACTTTTGTTGTTCATACTGTCCCTATTCAATATTTTTTTGGAATAATTAATTAATTGTGTGTGACAGTTGTCTCTGTACAAGTAAATGCAGACAGAGAAATATACACGTTTTATTTCATACCCAGGCAATGGACAAATGTCTGCACAGATCTCTTTATTATTGCAAATGAAAGGTTACAGAGACATTAACTCATATTTAGAAGAAGATAAATAAATAAAACAGTGCGGGAGGGGGGCGGGTCATTGGTTCAGAATGAATTAATTTGCCTGCAATTTCTTTGCACAGTAGCTAGGTGTCACTAGTGAGCAATGCTGAATGAAGCTTCGAGTAATGAACCTTTGGGTGAAGCAATGGACTGCGAGGTCTCAGTGGTTCAGGAAGCCTCATCTTGCCATCACTACTGCTTGCCATGCATGGTCCATTAATGTTTGAACGAAAAAGTTGTCCACGTCTGTCGCCATGGTTACTATGGCAGGTTACTAAGCGGAAACCAGGGATAACTCGGATATTACGTCATTGACAGGCGACAAGTGAACAGGGACGAGCAATTATTTAAAATTAATTTCTCTGAAATTAAATATCTTTGGGAACTTTTGGGATATTGTAAGTACACAACTGCAGGAAATATATCATACTGTGCAAGTCATTTTTGGATATTTTATTACAAAAATCGTATTGTATTTAAGCAGGACTGTGACGCTATTTTCTTCTGGAAAGAAACTTTGTTGTATTATTTTCCTGTTATCTCTATAAAGCTGCTTTTTTAAACAATCTGTTTTGTAAAAAGCGCTAAATAAATAAAGGTGACTTGACTTGACTCACTCAAAGAAATTCCAGTCACTTGTCGCCAACTACTGTTTTTGTGTTTGGATAATGGGGCTGCATCATTCTGCATTGTGATGTGGTAACATACTGTCATGATGGGATGAGCCAATCAAACACTAACAATAATGCCCTTACTTGTAATGCCCTTGCATTTATAAGAAACTGACAGAACAATCAAAGGATTCGCTGCTCAATGGTATAATTACTGTACAATTTGGAGATGTCTACATCACTTCTCATCTGTATCACATTGCTGGCAGGTACAAAAACACTATTACTTCAACATCTAACAAACAGTTTAGCATTTTCTTGGTATGTCTATTGATGTTTTTTGCAGAAATCACTTTCTGTGCTGAAATTGCAACAAAGACCAAAACTATCACTGGTAGAGAGTGGGAATCTGCTACTCTCACATGCTTGTATGAATAAAGCAGCTCTCATATTTTGCTCTTTTGGGGTAGATCCCAAGACAGGCACGTGAGTTTTACTGTATAAGGGTGCACGATCAGAGACTGGCTTTCAAAGCATAGATCCTCCTCACTATGATTCTGCAACTTCAAAGACATCCCCTTTTCTCATCATTAACAATCTAAAGCCGGAGGACACTGCTTCCCACTACTGTGTGCTAGAAGAAGCAGTATTGTACTGTACTACACTTCACACAGTAGTGGGAAGCAGTGTCCTTCACAATTTGTACAGTACAGTTTTTATCAGGCTGTACAAAAACTCACGTTCAAACCAAAAAGGGAAGTTTTCTTCCCTACAGTAAATAATAGTCTGAGCAGCAAGAGATGTGGTCACACCCGGAAAATGGAAGATTACAAATTTACTGTGTAAACCTGAAGGCCTGATGATCATGAATTTCGGGCTGATTAATTGTCATACAAATAGTTGCGAGTTAATTCTGTTTTTTTTTTTTATGTTACTTACAGTGTAAAATAAGTCATTTTATGACTTGGAATCTTATAATACAAAAATTATAATAAAATAGGCCTACATGATTTACTTTAATGCTGTGAAAATCTATAATATAATATAATATAATATAATATAATATAATATAATAATGCAGATGATTAAACCCACACAAATTAATTTTGTAGGAAATGAATACCTTTGACTAACTTAAAGGTACAATATGTAGGATTTTGGCCACTAGGCCAATGTTATATATTTTGTTTAGTTGATTACTACTTACAATATCCCAAATGTTTCCAACTATTTGTAAATCGTGAGAAAATTGTGATTTTAACCAAGGAAACGGGACGTGTGAGCTGGGATGAGGAGTCGCCAGTCAATGGTGTCATATCCGCATTACCCTCGGTTTCCTCTCGTACTGTCATAGTAACCATGGCGACTATGGTTATGTCCACCTAGCAGGACGCTCACGCTTTTGTTGTTTTGTTCAAACATTATGGACCATGGCAAGCAGACTTTGTTCGCGACTAACTTCGATTTGCTAGTCTCATATAGCCAACAAACCTAACTAACAACATTCAACACACTCAAATGCCGTTTAGTGTGATAGTGTAACTGTTAGAGCAAGTGAAACAGCGCTGTGTTACCTCAAGTATAATTCTTCGTCTAATAAACTGACCTGTGAGAGTATTAATTCAGCACTTGCATGTAGTTCGGTAGAATGAAATGTCCTTATTCCTTTATATCCGTGGGACTCGCTTGTGGCACTGGTATACGTCTCTCATTAGCAATCGCGCCCTGCTTCATACCACAGTCATGTTACAAGCATGTATTCACTCATCCATAAAAGATCCATCAGCTTGACGACAAGATCCATAATTTCGCTTAATGCTTTGCGTCATCGATATATACGCCTTTGTTATTGTAAGAGGTTAGCGACCCCTGGTGGTGAAAAATCCTACATATTGTACCTTTAATGTACTTTTCAACAGTGTTTTATATTCTTTGGCTGAATGTTATTGAAATTTTTACTGCACATGTATTGCATTCATCTCAAATAATTGCTATTAGATTGAATAACTGCCATTAGACAATTTATCAATAATCGCTACAGGTCTGTGGATGGCTTGCTTATACATATAAAAAGTAGAGAAATACTTCAAACAACATAAGATTGTACAAATGTCAAACTAAGGAAGGAGGCGGAGCTTCCAGAGGAGACTTCAGATTTGTCACTTGTCTTGTTACTTTGTTTTGCTCTGCTTAGGGCTCACAATGTTGCTGTACATAGTCATTTGGATCTTAACCGTTGCAGGTAAATACATTTTTTCCTTTAGTGTGTGTGACTGTATTACTAAAAATATGCTTCTTTAAATGCCAATTGAGCTGTGGAAATCAACATATTTCTCCTTTTTTTTTTTAAGATGTCACTCTTGCAGATGCCATTACCTCAGAACACACAGAAGTGCATGCAAATGAGAACGAGAACATGACACTATCCTGTAGGTATTCCTCGGCATATAGTCTTCTTTGGTATCGACAGCATCACAGTTCAGCTCCTCATTTCCTCATGCTCATCCTACAAAGCTCTGGAAAAGTAATACAGAGTTCAGACGAGCGCCTGTCAGGAAAACTGAACGTGGAGAAAAATCGTATAGATTTGGAAATCCCTTCTTCCACAGTACAGGACTCAGCACTGTATTTCTGCGCTCTGCAGACCACAGTGACAGGAAATCAAACATTACTGTACAAAAACCTAACAGCATGAGAGTTTATCATGCCCATTATTCACGCTTACTTAGGGGGAGGAGCTTAAGCTGCTTTAAAGAGCTCAAGTGCCATCACAGACGTGCCATTTCAGCATAATGCTGCTCATCACAATTATCCTGCTCTGTGCTGTTGGGAGTGAGTATAACTCAATATTGCTTAGTCAACATTATTTGTTTGTCTTCATAATATACCATATTTGAATATGATTACTCTGTAAATTATGTCAGACTTAAGCCAAATTAAAACAATATGTGTTTTTATAGTACAGAGTATATTTTTCTAAATTTTTTATCATCATTTTCAGATGGAAGGTTTGAGAGTCTCATTACATCAGACGAAACTGAGGTCTTTCATGAGGAGGGTGACAGTATCGCTTTGTCCTGTAGCTACTCAACAGCAATTAGTTTGCATTGGTACCGCCAGTATCCCAAATCAGCTCCTGAATATATTTTATTAATTCTCCAAACCTCTGGACGGGTCCAGAGTGCAGAGAATCTGGATTCTCGGTTTTCTGTGAGACTAAATGAAAAGAAAAACCGTGTGGATCTGATCATCTCCTCTGCTAAAGTATCAGACTCTGCTCTGTATTACTGTGCCCTGGAGCCCACAGTGACAGGAAACACTAGAACACGGTACAAAAACCTGCCTAAACATAGTAGAAAAGATATAGACCCATAACAAACAGTTCCTTTCACGAAAAACAAATGCTTTCAAGGCTCTGAAAAACAAACATGATCTCCTGAACTCCTACCATGTAATCCTCCTTCAACCACTTAAGATATTGCAACACTCAAACAATATAACAGTGTAATAGCCCTAACAATATGTATATTAGAAAATATAAAGACTATCATTAGGAAAAAGAGACAATCATAAAGTTCATCAATTTTAAGATTAATCTGCCATCTAGTGGTCCATTAGGCTCACGACACTGGCCGGACAAACTTGTGAAATATGTTTTTGAGGCTTTATGATATCATATCAAACAGTGAAAATATAAAAAAATAACACTGTCATCTAAGTGGCAAAAAATGTGTTTATAAAAATAGAGTCAGTTTAATTCTGTCTTTTATTATTGCATGTATTCATTTCTGTTCTCCATTTTGGTGGAAGGTCACCCAATATTATTTGTGATGATATTTATTCTTTTAAAGACTACACAAACATGTTTTATATGAAAACACTAAACATTGAATGAAAGAAAACAAAAGCAAGAACCAGTTCGATTAGCAAAAAAAAAAGAAAGTATATTTCAGCAAGGTTAACCAATATTATGGTCAAATATTTTGACCAAGTTGACCAGAGTACTAAATTGTCACTGTGAACATAATTTCTTGGTTTCTGAAATTAATTTGTTTTACTTTATGTTTAAATAGGCCTATGTTTGAACTTTTTTTGTCTTTCTAAGCTTTCTCTTAGTCCTGAGTCTGATTTAGAGAGAAGTTCATGAAATGATCATGAGAATGATTCTGCATTATTACATTATACCAGCAGGGAGCACCCAGAGTCTTGATCTACAATGAAAGTCAGTTATGTTGTGTGAAAGGATACACAAACCTGAGAGTTCAGAGGCTGAACAGGCATTTAGCTATTGTTTTAGTTCTATAGCAGATTGATTTTGGTCAATCATGAGAACTTGGCTGAGGGATATCCTTATTGTTATATTCTGTCTAGGTGATGTAGCAGGTTTTTATTAATTTCATTCTTTTTAGAAAATGCTGTTTGAGAATGTGTTGTGAGAGGCAGTATGAGTTAAATAATCTTATGTGCTCTCCACAGATTGCAGAGGACAACATACTGTACGTCAGCCAACAACAATAATTTCAGCTTGCATGGGAAAGACTGTAACCCTGAAGTGTGAATATAATACAACAGACACAATGCCTGCTCTGCTGTGGTACAGGCAAACTAAGCATTTACCTCCAGAATATATATTAGTAAGACACAATCTTGGAAATGGAAGTAATTCCAAAGACTTCCCCAACAAGCGATTTCAGTCCCTGCTGGATTCTGCAGCAAGACGAATTACACTGACTGTCCAGAACCTTCATCTGTCTGACTCTTCTGTGTACTTCTGTGCTTTGAGGCCCACTGTGAAAACAGGATATTGAGTTTTCTAACAAAAACCTGAACTTCGCAGCCCACATATTACAGTTTGTTGCCACTCTCATTGTCTGTATACACTCTTAAAGATAAAGGTTCTTAAAGGTTTCGTTTTTCTTCGCAGTGATGCAATTGAAGAACCATTTTTGGCTCCACAAAGAACCTTTCACTGAACAGGTCTTAAAAGAAGCATGGTTTCCTTTTGAGCGAAGACATTTTTAATAATCTGAACCTTTTTTTTCTTCTTTTTTTTTACTGTAAAGGAACTTTTGTGCAATGGAAAGTTTACATGAATGTTTAAGGTTCTTAATGAGACCATCAATGCCAATAAAGAACCTTCATTTTTAAGAGTGTGTGATAAAACACTGCTGATATATAAAAACAAATATAAACAGTATATATAAAATATAGTAAATTTTATTACAAAATGATACATACATATTTTATACTTAAAATGTTTTAATAATACAATATAAATATGTATCTATATACATATGGTAAATCAACATAATATCAATAATATATAATGTTATATAATATATCATAAAATGTTCTGGATCAACAAAATTACACTAATTTACCTGGGGAAAATATAAAAATAAAATAGTCTTTGCCATAGATTAAAACTTCTGACTTCTGTCCTACCAATGTATAACCTAAAATGTCATAGGCCAGTAACGCAACAGCAATTTGAAATCTATCATCATTTGATTGTGATGTTTTATTTTGCTATGGACAGCACTTAAAACTGCCCTATACAAAGTTCTGGAGCTGGTAAACATCGACTACATTAATTTACATAATGCCCTATTTTAAATGAATTGCCCTAACACCTGTGAAGAGAAGACTTCAACTCCTGTGAGGACTACAGATGACACAAACTCTGAATCACCAGTGCTAAATTTCTATATATTGTAATCATTATTTTCACAACTTGAAATAATGACTTAAATGAGCTCATTGTTTCTGCCTTAAATTAATACATTGCTAGCTAACTGCGTGATTTGTATATTTGGACACAGTATAACCTCTGATAACAGATCACTCTAAATTGTAATGTAGACACATGCATTTTATGTAAAGCTGCTTTGAAACTACAACCCCAAATCAGAAAAAGTTGGGACATTTTGTAAAATGCAATAAAATCAAGAATCTGTGATTTGTTCATTCTATTTAACCTTTTATTAGCTGACAAAAATACAAGGAAACGTTTTCCAATGTTTTCACTGACCAACATACCGTAATTGTATTTTGTAAATATGAACAAATTTTGATTTTGATGGCTGCAACACACCCCAAAAACATTGGGACAGAGACCAAAAAAAAAAAAAGTGAAAAAATTATCCAAATTAGATTATCCAACTATTTTGAAACAGTCCACAATGAGCAGGTGAATTGGTAATAGTTGAGGGTTTCATGTTTGGGTGTAAAAGTGCTTCTCAGTCTTGTTAAGCAAAGGTGGGGCATGGCTCATCACTTTGTGCCAAATATCTTGAGAGAATTGTCAAACAATTAAAAAAATCACATTTCTCAATGCAAGATTGCAAAGCATTTATGCCTTTCAACGTCTTCCAAACATAATATTGTCACAAGATTCAGGGAATCCAGAGAAATCTCAGTCTGTGTTGGGTAAGGCAGTAGACCTCTGTTGAATGTGTGTGACCTTTGAGCCCGCAGATGGCATTGCATAAGATACCATCATGCTACTCTGTCAAATACAGCCACAAGTGCTCAGAAGTAATTTGGAAAACCATTTTCACTGAACACAGTCTGACGCTGCATCAAGAAATGCCACTTGAATCTCTGTTACGCAAGGAGAAAGCTTTACATCAGTTCTATGTGGAGATGCCGGCGAGTTCTCTGGGCATGAGCTCATCTCAGATGGTCTAGAAGAAAGTGGAAATGTCTGCTGTTGTCAGATGAATCCATGTTTCAGCTTGTTTTTGGGAGAAAATGGAATCGAGTTCTCAGTCCCAAAGACGAAAGGGACCAACCAGACTTTCACCAGCGACAGGTGCAAAAGCAAACATCTGTCCTGGTATTGGGGTGTATCAGTGCAAGCGTTATGGGTAACTTGCATTTTTGTGAAGGTACCATTGACATGGAGGCATATATTTGGATTGTACATAAACTGCCATCAAGATGACATCTTTCCTGGGAAGCAAGACAATGCCAGGCCTCATTCTACACGTGCTACAACTGAGTGGTTTCTAGACACTCTGCACCATAGAAGGGATGTGCCTGCCTGTTTACTGCAGTCCAGATATGTCTCTTATGGAAAATGTATATGATGACCCATCATGAAAAGGAGAATCAGGCAATGATGACCACAGACTGTTGAGAGGCTGTCTTGTATCAGACAAGATTGGGCAAATATTCCACTAGCAAAACTCCAACAATTAGTATCCTCAACTCCCAAATGATTAAAAAGTGTAATTAAAAGCAAAGGTGATGTGACACAGTGGTAAACATGTCTCTGTCCCAACTTTTTTGGGGTGTGTTGCAGTCATCAAAATAAAAATTTGTTCATATTTACAAAATACAATTATGTTGGTCAGTGAAAACATTGGAAAACTTTTCTTTGTACTTTTGTCAGTTAAAAAAAAAGGTTAAAAAGAATGAACAAATAACAGATTCTTGATTTTATTGCATTTTACAAAATGTCCCGACTTTTTCTGATTTGGGGTTGTATATGTATTCTGAAAAGTGCTATACAAAATTAATATGAATTGAATTGCACATTTACTTTAGGCCACTGGAGATGACAAGAACATAAGAGTTTGTAACAGCCCTAACTAGAGTCTAGCATCTGGTGATACTGCCAGTGACATCACTGCACTGTGATTGGTTGTTGAAAGCACTGACTGGGAGCTTCAGTTGTCTGAAGGATTCTGTTATGGCAGTTCTGCAAAGCTCAGTGAGGAAACCATCGTTTAAAACAATGTCTTTCTGTTTGTTAATAGTTTTAATGGCATTTATTGGTAAGATTTCTGTTCTACATGCATTTACCTTCTTTCTACATTACCAGTGCATATTTAATGCTTACTTTAGTGGCTTTACAACATTGAAATGAATGAACTGAATTAAATCAATAATGTATTAAATTGAGCTGAATAGTGTTGCATTCTATAAAGCTGCTTTATAGCTAAATTTTTTTTTTTTTTTTTTTTGCAATGCTGTTATTTTCATGTTTATTTCTGTAAAGCTTTGAAACTAAAAAAGAGTTTTACAAATAAATGTGAGTTGATTTGCTTTAAAATGCTAATTCAACATTCTTCGCAGGTGCCAGTATACAAGACAGCATTAATCCAACATCTCCTGCTGTCCATACAAAGGACAATGAAAAAGTGACTATTTCTTGTGAATACCAGTACACTGTGTCAATGAATAATCTACAGTGGTATCGACAACACCTCAACAATACCCCACCGGAATTCCTGATTCTGATCATGGAGTCGGGACAAATGCAGACCGCTACACCTCCTCATCCTCGGCTGACAGCCTCAGTTGATAAAGCAAACAAGATGGTGAATCTGGAAATCTTCCCTGCAGATGTGGCGGATTCTGCAATGTATTACTGTGCACTGCAGCCCACAGTGGCAGGAAACACCATGAACACCATACAAAAACCTGCTCAAAGCTAAAAGGTTTAGATGTTAGAAAACAGGAGACCAAAGAGTCTGCACACACACCACAAGAGGGCAGCACTTTTCAAGACTCAACAACATAAGCATGTGCATAAAGTTGAAATGTTGTACTATCAACCACTTAAGACTATCACCTCAAGATATTATAAACAGAAGCACACAACTGATCAGTAAATTCAGGATGAGGAGATCGCTAGTTCTAATTCTCATTGCTACATCAGGTATTTGATATAGCCTAAAATGTATTTGAATTTGTAACATGAACGTATAATTTCAAAGCTTAATAAATCAGAATTTATCACAAAGCTTTCAAATAACAATTTTTATTTCCTTTCCAGTTGCTCTTGATGATCGCATTGGACCAAATGAAGCTGTTATTATTAGAGATGAAATGGAACCGGTGACATTAAGTTGCTCATATGAAACGAGCAGAGAATATGTCGATCTTTATTGGTATAGACAGTTTCCTAACAGTGAGCCACAGTATTTACTGTGGAAAGGTGCGCGATCAAGAGACGGCACAAGTAATATACCAGATCGTCATTTTGAATCATCTACAAACAGAACATCCACTGAACTGATTATCAAAGCAGTTGCTCTGAAAGATTCTGCTCTCTATTACTGTGCTCTTTGGAAAGACCCAGTGATACAAAATTTAAGAGAACCTGTACAAAAACACACATACTTTGAACTCAAAAACATCAAAGTATTAGCCAAACCAAGACGTAACCATTACTGTATGTGGTAACACCTGCGACTGATACAGTAGCCAAAACCCCCCAAAATAAAAGATTTAATGAAGCAGCACATGTACTGTGAACACAACAATGTGTTGAAAAGCAGATCATAGATATCCAGTGCTGTTTCTATCTTAATATTGACCTAAATCTTAAATTAGTTCTACCAAAAAAAGTAAATTCTGTCATTAATTACTCACCCTTGTGTCGTTCCACATCCGTAAGACCTTCGTTCATCTTTGGAACACAAAGAAAGATATTTTTAATGAAAACCGAGAGCTTTCTATCCCTCCACAGAGTTTCGACGCAACTTACACATTCAAGGTCCAGAAAGGCAGACATCGGTAAAGTAATCCATGTGACTCCAGTGGTTAAACCTCAATTGTATGAAGCGACGCGAGTGCTTTGTTTGCTAAAAAAAAAACATAATTTACCACTTTATTTACAAAAATATTGATCTGCAACGCGCGTTCACGAGAGCATCACGACGCATGCGTTGTTTGTTCACATGAGAGCTGACATTGTTGCGTGAACATGCTTTGGATAAAAAAGTGGTAAATTATATTTTTTGCACAAACAAAGCACTCACTTTGCTTCATAAAATTGAGGTTAGACCACTGGAGTCACATGGATTACTTAAATGATGTCTTTCCTACCTTTCTGGACCTTGAAAGTGGTAGTTGCGTTGGATTGGAGTGACAGAAACCTTTTGGATTTCATTAAAAATATCTTCATTTGTGTTCCGAAGATGAACTTACAGATGTGGAATGACACAAGGGTTAGTAGGCCTAACTAATGACATACTTTTCATTTGTGGGTGAACTATCCCTTTAAACATCCATCTGAAAATGTCATCACTATGGAAAATGCCATCATTGTTAGTATTAGAGTTTGAACCCACAATAAGCTACAGGTATGAAACATATGTCACTCAAACATACTAAAACATTCATTTTAGTGTCTGTCTCCTGCGGATAGTCACATCATGTTTCAAAATTTTAGTCTAGAGACCCCACTTTCTATATAAGTTTGGCTTTGAGTTGAGTTAGTTTGCTGTTAGTTTGTATGGTATAAAATAAAAATAAAATTATAAAATAAAATCAGAATATTCACCTTCAATTTCTCAAGTTTGTTCTGCTAATAATTTATGGGCTGTCTCTAAAAGGTGGACCCCCAACTCTAAACCTAAAACATGTGTGTTTGGGGTCAGTAGGAGGGGCTTTAGTGTTTTGACACCATCTAGGCCATCCTGAGGATGTGGTTTTGAAATAGATTAGCTACAAACTGAGCTGTCAGTCAAAGCATCGGCCTGAACAATGTTACTCTGTTTACTTAGCTTTCTATCTACATTCGGAGGTGAGTAGCTCAATATTTGATTATATTTAATAACTTCCATCTTGTAACCACAAACTTTTCAGATTTTTCATTATGAGATCTTTATAATCTCTGCATGTACAATAAATCCTCCAGAGGTCAGATTCAAGAGATTCCGAGATCACGGAAAATACTGTATAAGACCATAATGAACCTACATTTACAAATACTCATTTCTCTTTTTCAGGTGGTGGTTGTGAAGATGTCATCACTCCTGTCCAAACTGAGGTTTATGGGAAGAGTGGGGATAAAGTCACGTTGTCTTGCAACTACTCTTCAGCCCTTTCTTTGTACTGGTATCGTCAATATCTAAGGTCAAGTCCACATTTCCTTCTTCTGATACTGAAAAACAGCGGGGAGTCTGAAATCATGCAGGCTGGCATGTCAGTGAAATTAAATGAAAAGAAAACCTCTATGGATCTGGAGATCTCCTCTGTGAAAGTATCCGACTCTGCAGTGTACTACTGTGCGTTGAAGCCCACAGTGAGAGGAAACCCGTCAGTGCCGTACAAAAACCTGAATCTGGCTTGACAAAGTGTTCTTAAGTACTGAAAAATATACAAATACTATACAAACACTGCATCCTTTTGAATATACATTTTTACCACATCTGTTCTAAATCACGCTAGTACTATTTGGGGAACATTTTACAAGAAAGTTCCATTTGTTAACTTTAGTTAACTACATTTTTTAACATCATTTACCAATTTACCAATACATTATTAAAATCAAAAGTTAAATCTGTTAATATTATTTAATCGACCTGAGCTAACATGAACTAACAATGAACAGTTGTATTTAATTAACGTTAAACAATGTTAACAAATGTATTGCTAATTTATTTATTTATTTTTTGTTAATGTTAGTCAATGCATTAACTAATGAGAGCTTATTGTAAAGTGTTACCATTTTTTTTTTGATCTATTCAATATTCAGTGGTGAAATTAGGCAGACCGAAGTGATAATTGGCAGTATTGTTTTAGATTAAAATGATAAGAATCATTACCGAAGACCATTTGTTTGTGTATTTTTTAAGGAAGGTCAAAATTGATTGACTTTAAACTAGGGGTGCAACCATACATACCCTCATGTCACGATTCAATACATATCATGACACTGAACTCACGATACGATATTTGCGATACTCCAAGACATATGATAAAAGGTAAACAAAATATTTACTGTTTATTAAAATGCTAAATTGTAAATTACATTGTGGGTGTAAATGAATAGGCTTGGACTTGGTGCTGGTAATCCTAATGCACCGGTTAATAGTGACACCAAAATTAATATATTAAAATATAAATATCATCATGACTAATAATATCATTTTGACTAATCATTGTCACGCTCTACCAATATGATTGGTTACATTGTTTAAAGCAAGCCCCCCTCCTTCGTTAGTGACATCAGCATATTTTCTCAATACAGTCAAAGAACAGAACGTTTGGTCCATTTCCAAAGTTCAACTGACCAAGGTTACATTGAGTCAAATGTTTGTTAGATGATTAGTTCATATCGAAAGTTCGCCTAATGGCTACAGGAAGTAAGTCTTATTCTGTTGATAGCAAGTATGATAGGTTTTTTATATGATAGAAATATAAAATCAGAACTTTATGGTTAGTAACATGATTAACCTTATCTATTATAATTTTTCCACGACACTATCCATGATACATATTGTTGCATCTTTGTATTGCGATATATTGTGACACGATTTATTGTTACCCACCCCTACTTAAAAATATTGTTTTGCTGTTCATTTCTCTCTTTGTGCACAGCTATCTGACAATGACATTCAGATACATAAGCAGAGAGTTTAATTTCACACAGCCCAGCACAATATCTGATGAATGAAAATAACATCTATACCCTCAATGCAGGATTTATATTTACAAATGAGTTACATTTTTTGGGCATAGCTCTCAAAAATCTGTCTGAATGTGTAAAGACTAATTTTTTGCATGTGCATTGTCGCTGTTTTTTTTTCTTCTTTCTACTTTTTTAACATTTACCTGCCCCAATTCTTGTTTGTTTACACTGATTATATTGCAATATGTTGCACGTTTTTGTAGTTATAGTGTGGTTTATTTTCTAGTCTCAAAATCTCCCTATTGATCTTTATATTCTTTTTTTAAACAGAAAGAGCCTGTGCATTGTGAACTCAACATTAGTATCATTTCAGTATCAATGTTGTTTTCCCTCCCAGTAGGTATAGTACATCCTTGTGTCAAGAGGTGGAGCTCTCTGATTAGTTTGACTTGACTTTGCATGGCTTGTTTTCTGTTGTGGAATGGAATCACATCATTGTCACTCTTTGTAAGAGCATCAACCAACATGTGCCTTGCTGTCTTTGTAATTTTGGTTCTTCATATAGGTGAGTATTGATTAATTTCTCAGAATTAATTACTTCAATTATATAATAATTGTATTGATCAGAATTGCTTTTAACAAATATTTAAATTAATGAATATGCTTCTTATGCAATTTTACATCTTGTTTGTTTTAATTTATTTCATTGGTTCTCACAGGGAACATCCTGACAAACATGATAACGTCTCATGACTCACAAAAAGAAGTTTTAGAAGGTGAAAGCGTAAAACTCACATGTAACTACAGCGGAGTACCTGATACTCTCCAGTGGTACACTGAATATCCCGGATCTACACCAAAGTTCCTCCTCTACATCTATGAAAGTGGCTTGACAAGTGAAAACATACCAGAGCGTTTAACGCCAAGAATTAATAAAAATACAAATCGTGTGGATCTGGAGATCTCCTCTGCTGAAGTATCAGACTCTGCTGTGTATTACTGTGCTCTGCAGCCCACAGTCACAGGAAACACAAGAACACTGTACGAAAACTTCAAACAGAGAGAAATGTATTTAACAAGTTAAGCACTGTACTCCACATTTTTATACAAAATAGATTTCAGTTTATCTGAAAACAACTCTCATTATTTTATATAACATAATTTTGTGTTTTACATATATCCACTAACCACTGTTAAATCAATTCAGTTGAATTTGTGCATTGCTGTGCTTTTATTTTTTTTTATTGATGGATTTTATTGTACAAAGTAAAATGTTGTAAAGCTGCATCTCCTAATCATATAAGTTTCGGTTGTCACTCTGCTGCTTCTTGCTCAAGAATTACTTATTTTTAGCACAGTTCTAGTTTGAACTGATATCCATCTCTGTCTATATTAGTGTTGTCTTTGAAGTGCAGAGGAATCACCAAACCAAATTTGGTTTACAGAAAATGTAGGACATGATGAGTTTTTGGTAACACCTGCAGGTGTCTGAAACTAAAATAGACATGTACGTTAATGCTATACATCCACTATATTTCAAAAAGAGGGGGGCACTTGAGATAACGTGATTAGAAATGTACTTAAACATTTTTTTTTTAAAAGCCATCACTACTGTAAAAAATCTAAAAATATTTAGTATAATAGCAAACATTTTTTGTTTTGTTTGTCAAATTTTGGTTTGCTTCAAATTTTGGTTTGCAATGCTTCATTAACCTGTTTAAAATATAAAATTCTACCGGTTCTATAGCATGGATCTAAAGCATAGTTATTACTACAATAAGGAATTTATTTATAAATGTTGGTTAAAAAACAGTGATTGTGTCTTGGAAAATTCCATTGGAAAAAATAGCTCCAAATGTCCTCTGTTGTTTTACTTTGATCTCAGAACAAAATAAATGAAAACCCAAAACAAGTATTACTTAATCAGAATGTTTGTGATTTGACATTTTATATCGGTTTCATGTTTGTCTATTTTATTGCAACAGTGCTAAATTTACATTGTTCAACTCTCTACAAAACATTTTTAAGAGGAAAGTCTAACTGAATGTGAAAAAAAGAGAAAAAACCTGCATACTTCAAAATATTCAGCATTGGTTTCACAAAGTGTGATCACACCCACATATAATCATGCATTCTTTTCTCATAGTTTCTCTGCCATTCATTTCTCCTTCCAATTTCATTTAAATATTGAACCCTCAGATAATGAGATGTGTGGGTGGAGCTTTCAGAGACATTCAAGAGAAATTGTCATTTCTCGATATTCATTTGGGTTTTGCTTTGCATTCATGATGTTCCTGTGCTCTCTGCTTCTGCTTCTGCTGACAGTAATACAGGGTATGTATGAGACTGGTTTAAATATAAATATATTTAGAACTACATAACTATAATGCACCTGTAAATGTCAAATGTCTGATTTTGTGATTCACCAATTTTCCATGGCATTTGACAATTATCGTTATTTTTCATGAACATGTTCTACACATATTTTGCAGATGAATGTTTTGCACAGACAATAAAACCACTGCAGGGCAGAACACAAGTTACTGAGGGGGAAACAGTCATTCTCTCATGCAAATATGATGTCAGTGTACAGAATTTACTTTGGTATCGACAATATCCTGGATCAGGTCTGGAATTTCTGCTCCTTGTCGTTGAGTCATCCAAGAAGACTGTAATATATGCAGATCCCCCAATTCCTAGACTGGATGGCAACATAAGCATGGGAGATAAGAAAGTGTATCTGGAGATCTCCTCTGCTGCAGTGTCAGACTCTGCTGTGTATTACTGTGCTCTGAGGCCCACAGTGACAGAAAACAGGATAACACTGTACAAAAACCTCCAACCACACTCCATATGCAATAAATTAATTGTGTTGAAATTAAATCACTTTCAAACTATTTCTATCTTCTTCTAATTAAACTCCATGGCCCTGCTTTATAATTTCTGCAAGGCAAGGCAAGTTTATTTACCGGTATATAGCACATTTCATACACTATGGCAATTCAAAGTGCTTTACAGAAAGGAATTAAAATAATCAAAATAAAAGTAAGGAAAATTAAAAGAGTTATAAAAGAAATTAAAATAGATGTATGATACAGTTATAAAATGAATTAAAAGAGTAAAAAGATTATAAACTCTGAGATTTTCCCATGGTGATTACACTGTGTCTGTGGTGTTCTTTCTTTTGGCGTGCCTAAGAAATCTATTGGACGTCTCCGATGGACCTGATTTTCCCCTAAAATCGGACAGGAGGAGCTCTAGGAATGACTCAAGAGTAACCTCGGGTTCACTGCCCCATCAGTCCGCACCCCAAAAACCCATTTGTTCGGAAGCTCTAGGAATGGAATCAATCCAGTCCGCACCCCACATAATCTCGAGTTTAATTACACATCAAACTCACTACTCCACCACAGACTCTACAGATTATTGTTTTAGTGCAGGAACAATAAATAAACTTAATAAACTTGCTTAAAATAAACCAATAACCACCAAGCAGTATGCACTGTAATGTGATGTAATATGTGGTACTAAGATAATTTTCTGGTTCTTTAAAAGCATCAAAATGAGAAAATATTCACAAATATTTTACTGAAATATTTTTTTCAAACAGGCCAATGTGAAGTTTCTACAGTTGGCACCATAGAAAACTGTGATGTGATGTCTGAAATTATCCACAAGTGGGCGCTCTTCAACCAAAAATCTTTAAAGGGCACATAAGAGGAGGAGATACAAGGTAATTACTTCAGGCATGCAGAGGTTTCAGAGATAGTTCAACATAGTGGCTCATTTGTTCCTCGTCAGAAATGATATCCCTTTTTTGTCTATGGCTTATCTCAATCTTAACAGGTAAGATAAATGCAATTAGTCAAATAAGCATAACTGAGAAGAGGAAACCATTCAAAGTATACTTTACTTCTTCTCATTCCTATCTTTCTTCCTCTCTTTCTCTCAGGGCATGCTTCTAGTGAGGGAATAGCACCAGTCTCTCCTAATGAATTTGTCTCAGAAGGTAAAACAATCACCCTGTCCTGCAATTACACTGGGTCAGCTGCTACAGATGCCCTCCATTGGTATCGTCAATACCCGAGATCCAGGCCAGACTTCCTGTTTCTGGTTAATGAAGCTAAATTTAAGCAATCAGCTGACCCTCCAATTCCAGGAATATCTGCTAGATTAAATGAGGAGAAGAATCGTGTGGATCTGGAGATCACTGGCACTGCATTAACAGATTCTGCTCTGTATTACTGCGCCCTGCAGCCCACAGTGACAGGAAATATACATGCACTGTACAAAAATGAGACACATTGAAAATAGAGGCTGGAATCTGTGTTCATTGTCTCTGCTCAATGGCCAGGAACTATTGGATGATTATCCATGTTTGCATTCAAGCATTTTGATTTGGCAACTTTAAAGGTAGGGTCTGCGATTTTCGGAGTGGCTAGCAATAGCAAGCTAGCTTTAAAAGCATGAGATGCAACCCAAACTTCAGAGCATCTCCAAAGCCACGTCTGCAAAAGACATGAACGCACAGCAGATTCTGCAAAGCGTCACAAGAGACGGCATTAAATTACCTCATGTCTCAAAGCACATACCATTACAATAACAATGAACGTAAACAACTTACAGAGCTCTTACTTGTACCACCTGACTGCTGCAGATTATTTTCAGCATTGATAGTGTTGACATAGAGACATAAATTCGAGTATGAGTTCCGGGTAGAACGTCACTGGTTGCCATCTCGTAATTATGGTGATGAAATGGCCTGAACAGCATAAGCTCATTGTTTTGGTTCAGGAGGGACTGTAGAAGGCGGCTGCTGTTTGTTTATGGCGCTCTGTGACTGACTGTCTACAACTCTGCATCGCTTTAGGGAATGTGCTGATGATGTGTAATGTCTGCGCGAGCAGGGTGCAGGGAGGTATGCAAATACATACACTATATTGTGAAAAGTTTTGGGACGTCTGCTTTTACATGCACATGAACTTTAAGGACATCCCATTCTTAATCCGTAGCGTTTAATATGTCTATAACAGCTTCAACTCTTCTGGAAAAGCTTTCTTCAAGTTTTAGAAGTGTTTTATGGGAATTTTCTACCATTCTTCTAGAAGCGCATTTGTGAGGTCAGGAACTGATGTTAGACAAGAAAGCCTGGCTCGCAGTCTGTGCTCTAATTCATCCCAAAGGTGTTCTATCGGGTTGAGGTCAGGAATCTGTGCAGGCCAGTCAAGTTCCTGCACACCAAACTCACTCATCCATGTCTTTATGGACCTTGCTTTGTGCACTGGTGCGCAGTCATGTTGGAACAGGAAGGGGTGTCCAAACTGTTATCACAAAGTTGGGAGCATGAAATTGTCCAAAATATCTTGTCTCTGGAGCATTACATATACATTTATGTATTTGGCAGACACTTTTATCCAAAGCGATTTTCATTCTTATCAGTTCTTGCTTTCCCTGGGAATCGAACCCATGACCTTGGCATTGCCAGCGCCAACGCTGTTTGAGCTACAGCAAAAATATAGCATTACGAGTTCCTTCCTTCCTTGGAATTTGAGTTTGCGCAGTAGCGTTTTCGGGACCAGTCATGCGCAGTAGTGAGCAGGAAGTAAAGCCGCGAAATCAAGGCCCCGCCCTCACTCTCGCTGAATCAATCGCAAGCACACGCCCCTGCACTTTTCTTAAGTGGCCTTTGTCTGCTCCGTTCCTCTCCAATGATGTCTGCTGATTGCAGTACCTCGTTAAAATAAGGTAAATACAACTACTAACCACATAGTCAACATTATGAAAAAAAGTCAGTTGGTGTTTCAGTGATTACTTCGCACAGAGAACCTGTCAATCACAGCTGTCAATCATGATGTCACAGCATCAAATAACTAACTAAAACCGAACTTATTTTAAAAACAAACACTTGAAATTACATCAACGTGATAGAAACTACAGTAAATGACAGAAAATATCTTTAGAAAAAAGATATGTGAAGTGTAATTTAATTGTTTAGTTGGTCTCGCGTCCCGTTGAATAAAATGGGGAGGCGGGGTTTATGACCTATACTAGGACCGGTCACTGGGGGGCGATCGAGACGTTTTGGCTTCACTTTTGAGGGCTTGTGCGGCACGCTTGGTGGCAACCTATCACTTTGCCACGCTTGAATTCACTGAGCTCCTGAGAGCAAGCCATTCTTTCACAAATGTTTGTAGAAGCAGTCTGCATCCCTAGGTGGTTGATTTTATACAACTGTGGCCGTGGAAGTGATTGGAACACCCGAATTCAATGATTTGGAGGGGTGTCCCAATACTTTTGGCAATATAGTGTATGTTGATAGACAGGTGGAACATCTTTGCATTCGGACCAAATTCAATGATTGGGCGGACCTCCACAATATAGACATCTTCTATTCATGGGCGTAGCTTGTGTTGGTGGGGGGCTACTTTGAGATTATGTTGATAAACATGTTTATAGTGCATGTTTTCACATGTTTTGAACCAGCGCAGTCTCATCCCAAGACGTCATATAACTGACGTCTTGGGACGTCTTTTGACCATACGTCAATATCCGCCTTTTTAGGGTACCCTTAAACGTCGGTTAGATGACGTTATCGGATCCTAACTCTACCCCAGACCTAAACCTACCCTAAACCTACCCCGTCACCTAACTGACGTTAAAGGTAAAGCGTCAGTTGTATGACGTCCCAGGATCGTCATAAACCGACGTTTAAGGGTACCCTAAAAAGGCGGATATTGACGTATGGTCAAAAGACGTCCCAAGACGTCAGTTATATGACTTCTTGGGATGAGACTGTGTTATTTGAACATATTTATTGCAAGCCCTGCAAAAATAGACAGTGCAAGTTGATTCGTGTGCAATGTATCTGGTTGCCATGACAATCTCACGCTTGCTCTATCCAATCAGTAAAACTACTTAAATGATACAATGATACAATTTGTAAGTTTACTATAGAAAAGCTCAAATTTGACTGACCAAATCGACTGCTTTAAAGCTAATGATTAATCTTGAGATTCTGAGTTTTGAAGAATTGTCTTATTATTGTCTCCTCAACAACAGCTGACCTTGTGTTCAACACAGAATATTTCTGTCACTATGAACTATCTATCTACGTATATAATATATAGCCAAAATGTATTTCACATTCTTTCATGTATGACATGTTTTGTGTAATAATAATCACACTGAGATATGTGGGTGGAGCATGAAGAGATTGAGTTGGCATTCATCTCTTATGATTTCAGTGTGTTCTTCAGCAGTGCAAAAATGAGATCGCTTTTTTACCTACTTGTACTATTAGCCATTCAGGGTGAGTAGGATTAAGCATCTTTTTCATTATTTAATAATATTTTAATATTATATTGATCTTATTTGAATTCTTGTATATTACATTATTATTTATTTATGTAAATACATAGCAAAAAAAAATACAATAAATCATAAAAAAAAAATCCTGATGACTGTTTTACTCTATTTGCAGAATCCTTTGGCCAATCAATAACACCATTGGAGACCACAAAACATGCCACTGAGAGAGAGTCAGTCATTCTCTCATGCAAATATGATAGCCAAGCACGTACTTTACATTGGTATCGACAATATCCTGGATCCAGACCTCAATTTCTGATTTTTGTTTATGAATCTGGCAGTGTAACACATGCAGAACCCCCTATCCCAAGACTGAGTGCCAGTGTGAATAAGGTGGAGAAGCAGGTAGATCTGAAGATCTCTTCTGCTGCAGTCACGGATTCAGCGCTGTACTACTGCGCCCTGGAGCCCACAGTGACAGGAAGAGCAACCACACTGTACAAAAACCTCTATGAGGAGTAATGTTAAACTATTGTTAAAGTCTAATGTCTGAGTGATATACTTAAACAAGAAAAAATGTAGGGCGAGATATGATTTTGTACATTGGAAATTGACTGGATGGATCTTTGTGGTTTTCTATTGCTGTGATCTCATGTGAGTGACAGGTTGTCCCGCCCTCAAGCCGAAAAACACCTAATCAGAGATGGCAAGAGATGTCTTACCAAGGAGGCGAAGTTATTGTGATTAAAGGTTACGAGGACACATAAATAAAATTAAAAAAATGTGCACAGTTGAATCATATATAATAAATACTGAAATATTCAATAAAAAAACAAAACAGAATTGTCCGTATTGATTTTATGGAGACTTTAAATGTCCTGTAAGACTATAATATAATTAAAATGAAAGAGAATATCATGTGTTCTTAACCTTAAGTCTTGGTTTAACGTCACTGTTGCGACTGTCATTCGCTTAAATAATACTTTTATATATTTCTTTCTCTCTTTTTTGAAAGTTTAAAAAAAAACTTTTTTTTGCTTTCTAACAAAAAAAGAGGAAGATTTTACACTTGCAAAGCTTGGCATTTTCAGAAAAGTTTAATTTTATTATAGAATTCTAGCCTCATTTTTAAATATCATTATTCAGTTAATGAAGTATTTGTGTCAAACTTATTTCAAGACCAAACTGAATCTGATATAGATGGCGCTATATCTCTGAATGCTTTCACTGATTGTTATGGGTGGAGCTTTGAAGGATCTCACAAAAATCTCACAATTCTGTTTGCAGTTTTTCATTTGTTGTTCAAGATGATGCTCCTGTGCTGTCTGCTTGTGTTTTCAGTAACTCAATGTAAGTAGCTTTGTTTAAAACTGCAATAGTACTTAATTGTATTTTATGCAAGTTCATAGTATTAATTTGCTATTTGATTTATATTTTCTGAACGCCTGCATCTTGTTATTCTTCCTGACTGAATGTTTTCTATTCTATGCAGATACATTTGCGCAGTCAATAAGACCATTGCAGAACAATGTGCATGTAACTGAGGGGAAGCCGGTCACTCTCTCATGTAAATATAATGGCAGTGCAAACAGTCTGCATTGGTATCGACAGTATCCTGGATCCAGACCTGAATTTGTGCTCCTCGTCCTGGAGTCAGCCAAGAAACATGTGACATATGCAGATCCCCGTATCCCTGGAATGGATGGACAAATGAGTATGAGTGATAAAAGTGTGTATCTGGAGATCTCTTCTGCTGCAGTATCAGACTCTGCTGTGTATTACTGCGCCCTGCAGCCCACAGTGACAGGAAACACATCATCACTGTACAAAAACCTAGAAGGAGAAAGAACATAATATCTGTCTTTTGTCATAGACTCATGTTTGTTTGCAGATTGAACAGATTAAATTGATTTAACAGATTGTCAAAATGCTTGAGTACTTTCCATAAATAAGAAATGATTAAAAAATAGCTTTATAAATAATGTAAAAAAATAATGGACATTTTAACATAAACATTACATTACAAATAATACTTTGTGGGCAAGATATAGGTTTACATTTACATGAATGAATAAAGGGAAGGAAAATATACTTTGTCCTGTAACTGGTCACCCTTTTATTTAGTCTCTCTTCATTTTGAATCTCTTTCATATCATTTTAAATCTCTTTCACTATAAAAAGAAAGATAGTGGATTATGGATTTGGTGGTCCAGTAAAGTAACTTTTATCTGTTCTTTGTGCCCAACAACTTTATTTTATATAAATTGGTTGCCTATTCAAAACCCTCAAACAACACCCTTACTCTTAAAAAAAAAGGTCCCAAAAGGGATTTTTTGCAGCAATGCCATAGAACATCCATTTTAGGATTCCCCAAAGAACCTTTCAGTGAACAGTTAAAAAAAAACAAAAAACCTTTCTTAGTGTCAAGAATATGGGAAATATGGGATGGGATGAAAGAATATATTTCAAGGCTTTTGCATTCACCCAAGACATTGCGTGGGGTCACAAAGAACTAAAATGTTTTGCGAGAGCACGTTCAATTTCTCGGGGGAACTCAAACATTTTGCGCAACAATGCAAAGTTTCTTTGGGAAAGCAAAACATTTAAGATGTCCAACAAAATATGCTGTACCTTGAATGATTACATTGTTCTCTCACAGCTGATTGATTTAAATTCATTATTGCAGCCACAAGGTGGCATTATGTCCATACATACGTCTCATACACACTAAAGCCTTGTCAGCAGTGATGCTTATGTTTCATCTATAGCACTGATATAAACTGGTATAAAATCAACAGTATCTCATTTAAAATATACCTTTTACACCAGGCAAACTACTTGTCCTTAAATAGCTACTGTAATTAGTAATAACTAATCAGTAATCAGTAAAGTAATAGCATAAAATGTACAGCAGATGGCAGCGTTCACTTAGATTACAGAAGATTTGAACATTCAATTGGTGTCACAGTTCAAAAAGGAAACAGTGCCCAGAATCAGCCAAAATCTCTTAGTTATAAAGTTTGGGCTGCTTGCGAGGATCCGTGATGTTTCTATGCAATGTCTGGTTCATTCTTCTCTTTTCAGGTAAGCTATGTGACATTTTTAAGCAAACCTTCCAAAAATAAGTCATCATTAGACATTAATAATTTGTGTTGAATGGGTAATAAACGGCAATGCTCTGCCTGTTTCTGTTTCAGGTGATGTAAGTGGAGAAGGAATAGTGCCTCTCTCCTCATCTGACCTTGTAAGCACTGCTGACTCCATCACTTTGGTCTGCAAATACAAAGGGTCTTACACTTACAAAATTAAGATGAAACATCTAAACTGACGAACTACACTAACTAGTAAATCTGTGTCTTTATTGCATGATGCTCTAAAATATATTTGCATAATCCTGCAACCACAACATGTACATAACTGGAAAGCTGAGCAGAAGGTCAAGCGGTTTTTAATTTGTAAAGTTTTAGGTAAGAATATATTTAAAATATATATAATATTAAAATATAAATGCTCTGAAAGTGGCAGTGGCACGCATATACAGTACATTCCATTATCATGTATTTCTTGTGATTAAACTGTTGTCAATCAGGTGGCAATACAGATGCTTTTTCTCATCTATTGCTGAAGTGACAGATCCTGGTCTAAAAGATATTAAATGAGGACAAGAAAATGCTGTACTAGAAATATTCATTTGACTCAGAGGGTGGAGTTCTGTGTCTCTCAATGGATCTCACAAAAGTGCAGGTGCACCTATATGATGAAACAGACATTGATTTTGGCATCCAATACATCAGCCATTATGTTTATTTACACACTTATGACTTTATGGATCCACCTGGGTGAGATAAACTCATGCACACACATTTTGACTTCCTCTAAATTAGTATTAATTTTGAATTGAATCGTAATTTTATTTAATGACTCCTGTCAAGCTGCTTCCCTATAACCAAGCTTTTTTATTTTGTTAGGTGAGACAGAGGCAAATGCAATCTTCCCACTATCACCTATAAAGAGCACTGTTGTAGGTGGAAATGTAACTATATCCTGTAGTTACAAAGGATTCACTGGAAGTGTGCTAAATGTACAGTGGTACAAACAATATCCCGGGTCAAAACCTGAGTTCTTTATCAGAAACTATCCACATGGATCTTTGGGAATGGCGAGTCCAACCGTTCCAACACGATTTTCTGGCAAATTTGACCAAGACCTCCAACAAGTGGATCTAAAGTTGTCAGACGTTCTTTGGGAATATTCAGCTGTTTACTACTGTGCACTGGAGACCACAGTGACAGGAAACTTCCATTTTTCTACACAAAAACATAATGTACATTTAGATTTAAGGCCTTTTATGTCACAGTTAAAATATTTTTCTCTTCTCTTTTGGAGATGAAATATTCTCTTGATCCCAAAACCTTACATGACAAAATATAACAAAATCAATTATAATTTGGAGTTTGCCCAATTAAAGTAAAACATTCTAATTCAGTGCTGAAATGATATCAATAATCTTTCTTGTTTACAAACTAAGCAGGTAGTGCATCTACACTTCTCAATTTACAGAAGCCCTTATAACATAATGTTTATGTGGATGCCTTTACTTGTTCTTTTTAATGGGTTGTTTGTAATGAACTGTAAATATTAAATGTATGATAGGTGTGACGAGCAGTGCGGGGCCGAGAGCCGTGGGAATGGAGTGAGAGGCCGGTGGCGCGAGCGTTAATGAGCGACACTTACGAGTCACAGCAGTCTCGAGTCCCACAGAGGAGCTCCTGAAGGATAAAAGGAGTGGTGAAGACAGTAAAGGATGAGAGAGGACCAGGCCTCGGACTTTATGGTATTGTAGTTTCTGCAGCAGTCGTTCATGAGGGTCTGGTGCTTTACTTTCATTTTGCTGTTTATTTATTTTGTGATTAAAGTTACGTTGATCATTTGCCGGTTCTCGCCTCCTTCGTCCCTAATGCTTTAACTTTGTTACAATAGGCTACACTTCAAGCAATGTATAGAAAAAAAATTGTGTGCAATAAAGACATGACCGACAATTCCTCAGTTTTCTGTGCTGGGAAATATCTGTATCATCTATTCATTTCTAAGAATCAACTGAGGGCCCCACAATCTTTTTAGGTGGAGCTTTGTAGGAACATGTCAGCAAAAGACAGACCTGTGTTTCTCCAATTAAATCTTCTGTTATGATCTTTTTTGTATATCTATCCTATTACAGTAAAGATGTATTAATGAACAGATACAATTACTGAAGGTGCCCTAATATTCGTCTTCTTCTTCTGTCAAAAGTAATTAGTAGAAACTACAAAAGAAAAACATGTTGTGTTGATTAAAACATCCTGCAATGAAGTGAAACATCCTGATCTAAAATATAGAGCGGGACAAGAAAATGCTGTACTATTCATCATGACTTAGAGGGTGGAGTTTTGTGTCTCTGAACGGATCTCACAAAAGTGCAGGTGCACATATTATATGATAAAACAGACATCTTGATTTTGGCATCCAATACATCAACCATTATGTTTATTTATACTCTTATGACTTTATGGATTCATCTGGGTGAGATATTCTCATGCACACACAATTTGCCTTCCTCTAAATTAATATAATTCATGTTGAATTGAATCGGAATCTTATGTAGTTTTATTTAATGACTCCTGTCAAGCTGCTTTCCTAAACATGCTATTTTATTTTGTTAGGTGAGACAGAGGCAAATGCAATCTTCCCACTATCACCTATAAAGAGCACTGTTGTAGGTGCAAATGAAACTATATCCTGTAGTTACAACGGATTCACTGGAAGTGTGCTAAATGTACAGTGGTACAAACAATATGCCAGATCAAAACTAAAGTTCATTGTCTACAGCTATCCACAGGGAGGTCCAGCCTTACCCATAAACATATCACGGTTTTCTGGCAAACTTGATCAAGACCTTCAACAAGTGGATCTAAAGATCTCAAATGTTGCTTGGACAGATTCAGCGGTGTACTACTGCGCACTGCAGCCCACAGTCACAGAACACTAAGAGTTCACCATACAAAAACATAATATACTTTAGATTTAAAGAATTACCTGTCAGAGATTATTATTATTATTTTTGGGGAGATTCTCTTTTTGGAGATTTCAAATTCATACATTACATGATTTGGAGTCAATCCCAATCCCATAAATGGTTAATAAATGAAAAACAACATTTCTTCACAAACTATGTAACAATACACTTCTCCTTAATTCACAGAAGCCCTTATGACACATTAAGATGGATATTGTGTGGATGTCTTTACTTGTTTGTTTGAATGAGTTGTTTACCAATAAATATGAGAACATTTTCAAACCAAATATACAAAAGACTCTTTTTTTTTTTCAATTGCAATAAAGAAGTGAGAGGTAATGTCCTCATGTCTGTTGTGGGAAATCAGTATCCCCATTTCATTTAATCAATAGACTAGAGGGTCCCACAGTCCAGTGGGTGGAGCTTGGTGAGAATGGGTACAGCAGAGGGCAGTCCCATGTTTCCCCAAATCTCATTTTGTATGTCATCTCCACCAGTCATGTTTTTGATTTACCTCACCATTTTGGCACTTCTTACAGGTATTTACATTTAATATTTACATTTGTTAATATATCTATACCTCTATAAAAGTATATACAATTTAAAAAGAAGAATTAAAATACTGAAAGTGCCCCAATAATACTATTCCTCTGTTGTTTATATTTTCCCAGAAAGTGTTTTTGCAAATGCAATTACACCCCTATATGCTGAAATGCATGCTTTAGAAGGAGGAAAGACAACTCTTTCCTGCAACTACGATGGAAGTAATATAAGGAGTTTTCAGTGGTACAGACAGTATCCCAACACTGCCCCAGAATTTCTCTTGCAAGCTTTTGAAAATCTGGGTCCAGAGGAGAATGACCGTCATGTCGCTGAAGCGGTAAAGGACAAAAAACAACTGGACCTGGAGATCTCCAAAACTGAAATAGCAGACTCTGCAATATACTACTGTGCCCTGGTGCCCACAGTGACAGGAAACCTTTCTACACTGTACAAAAACACGAGATGATGAAAAATACATGAATAACATCTTGAGCAAACTTTCTTAAATTTTAAACAATATCAGAACAGCAACATCTGTTATCAAACAAAGTGTTTAGCTTTGAAGTCTTGTCACACAAGTCCAGTATCTATCAGAGAAAAACGATTCAAGACCTCAAAGAGGGTGGAGCTCTCTCACTAAGAGGGTGATCCAAAGTTTCTCTACGTTTACTGACTTTGTCATCACTTCAAAGATCACCCATCATGTTTCTCTTTTGTTGGATATTTTCATTATTCATCGGTAAGAGGTGTTCTAATTTTCAGGGTATCATCCCCAATATGCTAAAGAATAAAAGCCAGAGAATGTGGCATGTGAAGTAAATTTCGAGCAACCGATGCATGAGTTTATGATGACAAGATCTAATTCCTGTTTTATTAACAAACATGCATTTCTCTCTTTTTTTTTTACAGGAATTTCTTTTGCAAACAAAATATACCCATTATCCTCTGAAAAGCATGTTTTCATAGGTGAAAATGTGATTCTTACTTGTAACTACAGTGGGGATGTAGATAATCTGCAGTGGTATCGCCAGAATCCTGGATCTCGACCTGAGCACCTCATTCTCATCACAGAATATTCAGAACCTGATCTTTCACTTCGTCTGTCAGCAAAAGCTACAAAAGACATAAAACAAGTGAATCTTACAATCTCCTCTGCTGAAGTAACAGACTCTGCTCTGTACTACTGCGCTCTGAGGCCCACAGTGACAGGAAACCTGGGAACACTGTACAAAAACGTGGGATGTATTACATTTGTCTTAACATTGATTTTGTTTAACCTCGGCAGAAACGGTGAAAGTCAGACTAAAAATATCTTTCCAAACCAGTTAATTCAAACAGTTTAAATGTGTTTGTTTGGTGTTTCAAAAGTAAAGTCACTCACTCAGCCCAGAAGAGGGCGCTGTGCTCTACACACTGTAGTTCTCCTCATGATCATACAAACCTTTGACATCTAGAAGCAAGCCAGCTATTTCCTCAGAGCATAGCATTATAGTCAATGATGATTATAGAAATCTAAATCCTGATCCATTCATCACTATTCTGAAAATTTTTGAAATAAGATTTTTTTTTCCAGATAAATCATAAAAATATTGGATAGGCCTATGGTTTGTGTGCAGCACCAGAACAATAAAAAAAATATATATATTTATTAATACTTAATTTTTTAAACTGCCAAAAGGTGAAGCTCTAGGCTCAAATCATATTGTTTAATAATATGTCAAATCATATCATGCTGCTCTGTGCAGTGTGCACTTAAGATATTTTTGGAGCTTGCAGATGATTTTTATCCCAACATTAATTAATTAATAAAGATATACTGCATTGCAGGCGTGAGACAAAATAGCCTAAATAATTGACTCAAAATAAAAATCCTTTTTATTTTTATTTTATTTATTTATTTATTTTTATTTTTTTCTCAATTCACTGGGGTGTAAAGCAGGGGAAGGGAAAGAAGGGGGGAGTAACATGTTGTGTCTACTCTAACATGTTAATTGTATGATCGCAATATGAATAATGTCACAACAAAAAAAATAAAAAATAATAATTAATAAATAAAAATCCTGTGATATACTCACCTTCACGTTTCTCCAAACCGAAATTTAAGTCCATTAAAATTTGGCGTTCACTACAGTTGTTTACATCAGACACTTTACACCATATAAGGAGAAGAAGGCGGAGCAGAAACAACAGCACACAAATACCATATAGATTCCACATAGATTTGAATGTAGGCCTAAAGTGAATAAGATTTGAGAACTTGTAAAAGTCTCACAGGTCACAGGGTGTTGCTTCAAAAGAAACACAGAAGACACTTGCTCTTTCTGTATCCCAGTATGAGGATGCGGTTTTTTTACTTTACAGTCATGGCACTTCTTTCAGGTGATTGATTTATATTTATTTCAAAGCTATAAATGTTATCTTTGAGCATATAAAATTTTTTTTTTTTCTGATGCTGAGTTAATGTTATTTTTTTCTTCTGTTGTTATCTTTCCAGACAATGTTCTTGCAAATTCAATAACATCCCACTCTACTGAAAAGCATGCGTTAGAAGGAGAGAAGACGACTCTTTCCTGCAACTACAGTGGAAGCAATATTAACAGTTTTCAGTGGTACAGACAGTCTTCCAACACTGCCCCTGAGTTTATCTTGCAAGCTTTTGAAAGTTTGGGACAACAGCAGAAGGACCAATATATTGCTAAAGTTCGAAAGGACGAAAAACAACTGGACCTGGAGATCTCCAAAACTGAAACAGCAGACTCTGCAATATACTACTGTGCCCTGGTGCCCACAGTAACAGGAAACCCTTCTACACTGTACAAAAACCTGAGTATGATCCTCATTTCAGAAAACATCTGAACAACACCCTCTCCCGCAACCATTCAAAAGATTCAAATATGATACTGCAAGTTCACAAAACTGTCTCAATCTGCAGCATTAAACTGACCCTTCAGTGTTCTTAAACTTGCAGGATTTGTTTTCTTCCACAGAATTATTTTTTTACCTGTTTTCTTTTCCGTTTTGACAAACTACACAATGTGTGTCTTTTAAACTTTACAAAAGAACAAGCTTATGCCTTTAATTGCCATAGCATAGTGTGCAAGATTTTTTTTTTATATATATAAATGGAAGTGCATGTTGCTTTAAAAAAAAACTCACAATAACCATTACCCATTAATAAACGTATTCTAATAAACTTTACATCTAATAAATTAGCAATCAAAATGTGTGGGGGGTTTTTCAGGTAGAGGAAAGACGCATGGGACAGAAGGTGGAGCTCTCTCACAAAGTGTTTAATGTGCAAGAGGCTGTCTCAGTCACTCGAATTTTCCATTACTCCCTCATTGTAGACCATCTATCATGTTTCTCCTTTGTTGGATAGCGTTTTTATTTATAGGTAGGTGTTTTCATTTTTAAAAGCTTGATAAAGATTTATAAAATGAAAATGTAGTATGTGTAGCAGCATTTAAGTTGAAGCAATTGATACATGTGTTAATGCCACAAATAGTTTTCTGTTTAATGAATAACAATGCATCTCCCTTTTTTTTGTACAGGAAATTCATCTGCAAACACAATACAACCATTATCCTCTGAAAAGCATGTTTTCAGAGGTCAAAATGTGATTCTTTCCTGTAACTACAGCGTTGATGTAAACAATCTGCAGTGGTATCGCCAGTTTCCTGGATCTCGACCTGAGCACCTCATTCTCATCACTGAATATTCAGATCCTGATCCTTCACTCCGTCTGTCAGCAAAAGCTACAAAAGAGATCAAAAGTGTTGATCTTATGATCTCCTCTGCTGAAGTGTCAGACTCTGCTGTGTATTACTGTGCCCTGCAGCCCACAGTGACAGGAAACACAAGAACACTGTACAAAAACCTGTGATATTCAATCAGATTTAACATGCATTTGAAAGCCATAGCATTAAAAACTTGATGTTAAATACTAAATTAAAATGTTCTGTTGTGAACATTTGTCCAGTGTCTTTCAATCAAACAGCAGCAACACCAACTAATAATGACCAAATAAATATAAGTGAACAAAAAAACCAATGCATTCTCATCCCAAAGCGTCATATACTGACGCTTTTGCCAAAGCGTCTACATCCGACGCACATGGCACCTTTAGCGTCAATATAACACGCTTCGGTTATGGGTAGGTTTAGGTATGGGGTAGTGTTAGGGTTAGACCACTAGGAGGCGCCATATATCTGCGTCTCATATTGACGCTAAAGGGTGCCATGTGCGTTGGGTATAGACGCTTTGGCAAAAGCGTCAGTATATGACGCCTTGGGATGAGAACGGGCTGAAAAAACACAGAGGCATGTATTATCAATATTTCATACAGTGGTGTGAAAAAGTCTGAGACACTAGTGAATATGGCTCTTTTACATTTTTGTTTAATTTAATACAGTCAGTGTCACAAATTTGTTTATTTTATTAGTGGCCTATATGTATTTATTTTTCAGATTCTTGGAGCCTACTGTATAATGAAGCTGAAACGTTTGAAGCAGTCATCCGTTGACCCTCTTCTGAGCTGTAGTAATTTATGACTAAACTAATCCACCTGCTACTTAATCTTTGAAGTTCTTCTTACATTAGTCACTGAAAATAACTGTATTCATAAATCTTTCACTATAGAAAACAATTTCTATATGAATAGTCTCAAAAGAAAATAAGTCTGTTGTTGCTCACTTCCTTGCCACAGGGTGGAGCTCTGCAGCCTGTTGTTAGAAAGCAGATGTGATAGACTCAAGGTTGACTGTAACACTTAAAGCATTGACTCCAGTCTCGAGGTTGAGTGTGACACTTAAAACATTCATTCTACTGAACAATGGCCAGGTTTACTGTTGTCTTGTTTGTATTTGCACTGCTTAAGGGTAAGTAATACTTTAATTCTGATTGTTGTATCAGTGTCAACAGCAGGTGACCAAACATGTAACAGTAACTTAGTTTGTTACACGTATCAAGTATTTACAGTTCTGTTGAACAGAATAGATTTTCTCTCTTCTTCTTTTACAGAGAGTGCTGATGCATATACAATAGAATCTCTCTCATCAGAAAAGCGTGTTTCAGTTGGAGAAAGTGCTATTATCTCTTGCAAATACAGTGGACTTGGGCCCAGCTTCCAGTGGTATCGGCAATATCCAAGATCCAGACCAGAGTTCCTTATCTTTCAAACCGAGACTGCTGTTTCATCCGAACCCACATTACGTCTCACAGCGATACCAAAAAAAGAAATGACACAAGTGGATCTGGAGATCTCCTCTGCTGAAGTGTCAGACTCTGCTGTGTATTACTGCGCTCTGAGGCCCACAGTGACAGGAAACACATCAGCTCTGTACAAAAACTTAATACATTTTATACAAAAATTGTAACTCGCCAGCTTCCAATCAACTACAATAAATGATTGATAAAACGCTGTCGGGTCTTTTCATTTTGAGAAAAAACAGCCCATCAGAGAAACAAAGTCTCAGCAAGAGGGTGGAGCAAATTCACAAAGACTTGAATGTGTGAAAGGCTGATTCAGTTATCAAGTATTCCTGCTTTGTTAGCTTTACAATAACTCTTCATCAGAAACCATCATGTTTTTCTTTTGTTGGATACCACTCGCATTATTCATAGGTAATCATTTCATATTTATTCTTTTTTATTAAATTAAATATTTTTTACAAGCATTATTTTATTAATGTGCGCACACTGCACAAGTACCGGTTTAATAAATACAGATGCCTTTTGTCCATACAGGAAATTCCTTTGCTGACACAATACAGCCGTTGTCATCTGAAAAACATATTTTCAGAGGTGACAATGTGACTCTGTCCTGTAACTACAGTGGTCTTGTATATACCCTGCAATGGTATCGAAAATATGTGGGATCAAGACCGGAGTTCCTAATACTTGTAAATGAAAATTCAGAGTCATCCGAGTCTTCTCTTCGTCTGTCAGCAAAAGACTCAAAAGACAAAAAACAAGTGAATCTTACAATCTCTTCTGCAGAGGTGTCAGACTCTGCTCTGTACTACTGCGCTCTGAGGCCCACAGTGACAGAAAGCCCAAAAACACTGTACGAAAACCCTGATTCCAGTCTTGTGCCTTTGTAATGTTACCGATTTTACAGGTCAGTTTGACATCTCAATAAAATAATCCAACCCCTTCTTTAAGTTGTATGTCAGGTGTGTGTAAAGATTTAATTACTTAATTGCTTAAAATAGAAAAGAAATATGCAATGTATCTTCATGAGGTGTTCCAGTAATTTCATGTGCATATTTTAGTTTTTTTTATAACAAAGATTCAATCATTTAAAATGAATGTTTTCTCATTTTTCACAATTTAATTTTATAAAAATGTTCTACAAACCAAAAACTAAAAATCTATAAATCTTGAGAACAGCTTTAAGATGGATGCATGTAAAAACCTTCTATCGTGACCAAAGTCTTTTTAAGAGGGTAAAAAATACAAATACTGTGCAAGTTCTTGGTAATTCGTGAAGGCATGAATGTTTGTTTTCAGACAGAAGAGGGTGTTCTTCTCATTTCTGTAGTCCTCATGTACACAAAGAGCTCAAGACTCATCACAGAAGATCAAATCCTGCCACAGGGTGGAGCTCCAGACTTAAATCACAGTGAGTGAAGAAAAGGCACATCTGAGTTTGTCATTTCATTCCATCATGCTTCTCTGTTCACTTGTAATATTTTCAGTACTAGCAGGTAAGATCCATTTATTTCATTTATCACCACAACTTTTTATTTAAACATGTTAATATTACATTTAACCGATCACAATATTGAATTTAGTATGTTTTTTTCTTCTTCAGGAGACTCTCTTGGTGATCTAATAACATCTCATGGTCCTGAAAAAGAAGCTCAAGATGGAAACAGTGTTACTCTCTCCTGTAACTACAGTGGTGCTGTTTTGAATCTACTGTGGTATCGTCAGTATCAGAGATCCAAACCAGAACTCCTTCTCTCCATCACTGAATCTGGAGATCCAGTTAAAGCAGATCCATCAGCCCACTGGTTTTCTGCTAAAGTTGACAAACAGAGAAAGCTCATGGAACTGGAAATCAGCCCTGCTAAAGTAACAGACTCTGCACAGTATTATTGTGCCCTGGAGCCCACAGTGCCAGGAAACCTGTTTACTTTGCACAAAATCTTGCTAATAGTATAACTTAACAATTATTTACTTAAAGCTGCAGTCCATAGCTTTTTGGGGTTCAAAATGATCCAAAATAAATGTTTGAGAAAATACATAACCAGCCAGTGTTTAAAACTATCTGCTTGCCTTAGCTCGATTCAAAACGGTCAGCTTGTAATAATGTTTTACATTCCAGTGGTACTGGTGGATTTCCACAGGAGATTCGAGCATGTCTTTATGTCATTACGTCACATCTGTAGCCTACACATAAAGAAGGAGTCTCGGCTTAGTCGGCTACTATAAGCTATATTGCGTGTGAGGATGCTGGAGGTGGAGATTTATAGCCTTTGTTCACAGCACTTGATATAATTAAATCATTTTATAACGGATCCAGAAAGGTTCAAACGACAAGACAACTAGAGATTCACCCGCTATAAAATGCAAAAGACTTCGTTCGGATTTCGGAGTGGCTACAGAAAAAAAGAGACTGCAACCGGCCCATGCGAAAGGCGAAAACAAGGATACATATCGGAAGGACATTAAATGTCACGCAATGCTGACGTTGTTAAAATTAACAATTTGAGAACAGTATAATTAATTTGCACGGTTTTGCGTGATATTATAAGCGATTGTTAGATTTAATCAGCGCGATTTACTGCAATGTCAGAACCAGAACAAAAGTGGATGTTACTTACTTGTTCTGATGACATTTTCCGGTGAAAATTATTATGTTGGTCATAATTCCAAAAAGAATAATCTGTGATTCTGAATGCCAGTATCCACACCGGCGCGGTGACTGACAGCCTCACAGTCTCCTCAAACATTGTGTTCATCCGCACTGTGCCGTGTCGAGGGTGTTGAACTACAACTCACGTAAAGTTGATAATTCCGTGAATAACTCCAATTGCAGATTTCGAACAGAGATGGCGACAAAGAGGAAAAACTGTGGAGTGCAGCTTTAAGAAATAATTCAGAATACAAGTAGAAGTACTGAAAATATATATATATAACTCAAATAAAGTAATAAGTAGATTGTTGAAAAACTAATAAGTTACAACATTACAAAGAGCTTTCTTTTTATTATTATTATGGGGAGATTTGTGCAGTCTCATGTAATGTCTGTTTTGTTCATACTGGAAGCCGGAGGGCGCCCTCGCACAGAAAGTCCACAAGTGAGACTCACAGGAGTAATAAAACATATGGTGTTCCAGGAAATCCCTTATGGCATTCGGATATCACTGTAGCCCAAATAGACATTTCTCTCATTCATAAAAAGCCACGTCAGATCAGACAAGGAAATTATTTCAAACACTAAACTGACGTTATAGTGAGTTTGGAGAAAAATATGTTGTTAATCTCATAAATTGCTGTGTTTTGACACTATGCTAAGCTAGCTAGCCCTTGAGCACCTGTTGCCAGGAGCAATTCTATTTTATAACAAAAAAGTAAAGATTCTTTTTAAAGAAGGGCATTTGAACAACGATGAGTAATTAAAACAGTGTGAATAGGAAGGCGTCAGTAAAATAATAAAGGGGGTGCAAGGTATCATAAAAATAAACAGCAATCATACAAAGCTTTCATGTATAGACTACCCTAGAATATCATAGTTTCACAACTAACCCTAACTAATGATTCTTCACTGATAGTAAAAAATGGCCCTCTTTTTGTTCTCTTGCTCATTGTGTCTTCATTGGTGATTGAAATCTCAGTGCATTATTCTTAATAACTAGTCTATATTTATTTATACAGAACATTTTATAACTCACCTCTACATGACTTGCAGGTCTTTATCTTAAATAAAATGCTATTTTCTATCATCCATTGATGATTCTGAAAGAAAACGCACCAGGATATACTGTTGTTGCTCTAATCAAGTCAAGTCAAGTCTTTTATTTGCCAAAACGACGCAAATCGCCTGGAATTCATTTTAGTGATTTGGCTCACTCAGGACAATACAAGACAGTATTGGACAAAAATAACAACACATCATCAGACATGACATATACAATAAAAATAAAACAAAATCGGAAGATAAATACTTGGGTTGCTACCAATGAGTAAATATAATAAGTAATCAGATAAATAAATAAATCAGATAAAATGCTAATGCATTTAGTGATACTGAGGAGAAGGACATAATTGTGTAAGCAGAGCAGATAACGATTGTTGGTGTGAATTGAGGGACCTCACAGCCTGTGGGTAAGTGCTAATTGAAAAACGGGTGGTTCTGAATCTGATAGCCTACTTCTTAGCCTTCTACCTGATGGTAGAGGGATTAAAAGAGAATTAGCGGGGTGCAAAGAATCTTTAAGTATTTTCAGTCCAGTTTTAAGTAGACGGGTGTTGTAAATGTCACAGATCTTAGGGAGGTCCAACCCAATTATCCTTGACGCTGTCCTAACTACCCTATTCAGCGCATATTTATCCTCTGCTGAGCAATTACCCCACCATACAGTGATGGAGAAAGTAAGTGTGCTCTCTATCACAGCTCTGTAGAAGTGGTGCATTCCCGCCTTGGACACTTTAAATTTCTTGAGTTGTCTTAAAAAGAAAAGTCGCTGGTGAGCTTTTTTTAACAATCTGGCTGACATTGGTATCCCATTTAAGACTGGAGGATATGATGGTCCCAAGGAACCTAAAACTTTCCATCCAATCCACAGTTTTGTCCTTGATGGCCAGGGGCTGGAGCGACACACTATTTTTATTCCTAAAATCAACAACAATCTCCTTGGTTTTGGAGATGTTAAGGGACGCAACTTTTCAGTGTTGTTGTTAATGTTATGTTATTTCAGCAAACAGTTTGCTTCATACATAAGTTTAACATAAAGTTAAAGAGGGCAAACATTGACATTCATCTGAACTATGCGCATGCATTTTAGACACTTACATCATATTGTGCCGTCCATGCAATAAATGCACGTTCTTGAATGAGCCGAGTTGTCTATTTACTTCAACTGCTCTGTGCTCTGCTAATATGGTTTTACCCAGTTCGAGGGGGCTCCACCTCAGTAGTTAAGTTCCAATCAAATGTCAGGTTGCCCCGTTGATCCCTATTTTTTGTACTACTTTTGCTGAAAAATAAAAATAGTTAGGCTATAGGCTTATTTTATTCAACTTAACTAAAAGTAGGCCTACCACAATTTAATTGTCCTCAAAAAAGTAGAAAAATAAATGTATCCAAGTGGGCTACTGTAATGAAAGTAGTTTGTTACTTTCCACCTCTGCAATTTACACTTGGTGTCGCTATCACTCACGGTTGATTCAGTTTTTCCCAGCTTTCCACTGCTATCTAGCCTGACGTCGCCATACTCAAGATTCTAGTCAGAATATGAACTTCCCGACCTCAAATGTTGTGGGCGGGGCTAGCACAAGTTCGGCTGGCATCCAGGCTAGCTGCTATCAGCAGGAGTTTGCAAAATTCGTGACTTCAACTGATGAAGAGCCTCAAAAAAACGATGCGTTTTCTTCCCCGGGATGCAGTCCCATGCTGTGTTCATACTTGCAGAAAAGTTTCAGCATACTATGCACAATCTGCACATTATTTAGTTTTGGCCATATAATTATAATTATATGTAATTATATAATAATATAATATTGCCATTAACTAACTTTCACTGTTCTTTAACCTTAAATTATTTAAGGGGAAAAATATATATTTTTTGTGCAAAGTTTTATCAGTTAACATTTCCCTTTGTTGCACACTGGCACTGTAATAATCATTATTCTGGAATAGTTGCAATATATCCTGCCAGAAGGTGGAGCTCTAGGAAACAGTCACAGTTCAATTGTTTAACAACAGAGCAGACAAACAGTGTGTTGAGTCACTTATACTAAGGAGGGAACAGTAAGTCTTGACTCTCAAAGTCAATTGTCTCTTATTAGTGCAGATGTTGCTACTGGTATTCATTGTATTTTCTCTTCTAAGAGGTGAGTCATTCATAATTACTGTAGAAGTTTTTTTTTTCTCTTTATCCTGTTGACAATCTGAAATAGTCCATTACAAATAATATTTTTATTTTTACAGGGAATGCTGCTGCAGACGTGATAACACCATTAATCACAATGAAGCATGTTTTGGAAGGAAAAGATGTTACACTGATCTGCAACTACACTGGCAGTGTTCAGAATTTGCAGTGGTACCGTCAGTATCCCGGATCCAAACCTGAGAACCTCATTTTGTTCATTGAAACCAGCCCTAAATCAGAGCCCTCTCTCCGTCTGACCGCTGCAGCTGATAAAGTCGTCAAACATATGAATCTGACAATCTCTTCTACAGAAGTCAAAGACTCTGCCATGTACTATTGTGCCCTGGAGCCCACAGTTACAGGAAACACAACTGCACCCTACAAAAACTCAATGGGCTTTTCATATCTATATTGTCTATGTTAATATTTCAGGGAATCACGACACACTAAAAGTTGTACATACCTTTAAAGCTTATTCCAACATGAAGCAGCTGAGTGTCAACTTAACACAGGCTGTAATAAATGAATTTGACTGGCATAATGCCAATATTAGGTTGTTGACTACAGCTTCTTTCTATATATTGAGTATTTGTAGAGTAAGATGAGCAAAGTACAGTATGTGTGGGAGGAGCTCAATGTTTTGTCGACTCCTACTGAATAAATTAGAGAAAACAATGTCTTACCTTCATACTGATGATACTCTGAACTCAAACTACAGAATCATGTTTCTCATCTCTTCTGTTTTAATATTTATCCTCAGTTACTGTAAGTATTACTCATGTACATTTTGCTCTGTATTTCAGAACAACACAAAAAAAATATAAAACAAATTTACATTTGCTTTGCTCTAAATTGAATCCATTACTTTGCTTGAATCTTTAATGTCTTTGCAGGTGAGGCCAATGGGAATGTCATCAGACCAAACCAACCATCTGAAGTTTTAACTGAAGGAAGCAGCATCACTCTCTCCTGTACATATGATGTATCAGCTTACAGTCTCCACTGGTACCGGCAGATGCCTGGATCAAGACTAGAGTTTCTGCTGCTGATTGTGAAGTCTACTAAAACTGAAGTTCCAGCTTCTCCACCTCTCCCGCATATGTCCATCAAACTCCATAATGATAACCGTGTGGATCTGGAGATCTCCTCTGCTGCTGTATCTGACTCTGCAGTGTATTACTGTGCTCTGCAGCCCACAGTGACAGGAAAATCATCTACACTGTACAAAAACAGGTTTCTTGTATAGTCATTTTTTTTAAGAGGGAGGAGCTTCTTCCCATGTAGTGTCTCAGTCTTTTCCCCCATTTTCCTTTCCTTTGCTGTGTAGTGTTGCCTTACTCTGAGAACTACTATATTAGCAAATGTTAGTGCACCATATTTCTTGTCAATTACTGGTCATTTAAGACAACTTTTACAAGACAAAACACACTTTAATTTACAATACGTTAAGTTAACCACCGTAAGTATGAACTCACATACTATAAACAGGACAAATTCCTACTATCATAAGTTTGCTACTAGATTTCTTTGCACTGGACAATGACAGTCCTTATGATTACAAAAAAAAGTTACATTTGTAAAAAATGTTTTCAAAGAATAATGTTCAATCTTCTTAAATATTATATATTTGGCCAAAAATGCTTACTTGTTGTAGCAAATTAGCTCTATGAAATATTAATAATCAATCATAACTTGTTAGAATTGATTATGAATATTTTGATTAGTTAATCGGGTTAACTTGATGTAGCTACATTAACATTACAACCAATTACTCGGTTCATCCCGTGAACTCTCAATATTGGTTATTAATTAATTAATAGAAATGTACATTTCCGGGGCATGGGAAATGTCTTTCTTACTAAGTACTACTAAGAGCAAGTAGTCATGATCTATGATTAGTGACTCCAGATATGAGCTTGAGACACGGACAACTTTACGTGTGACATGATCAAGATTTTATTAACTAGACTAAACATTTAAACTACTCTAACATACACATCCATACATGCATACAGTTTACCAAGGGAAAGAGAGCTGAAGCAGAATACAGGAAAGCAAGAAGTTATAGCATTGTTTGATGTTCAGCATCAACAGCCTGAGCAAACCAACCAACATGCCCTTCTTAAAAAGGGGTAAGGATACTTAATGTATCAAATAATGAGACTAAGTTTGATTCTTGCATGTCTCGCTCATTTGAATTAAACTGTCCTGATGCAATTTGTTGAGGCTCCAGTTGATCTTTGCTGATGTGGTCTTGATGAGAGAGAACCAGTGGGAGTCAGAGGATCTTTGGTGAATGGAAAGACAAGGCCGCAGCCTGGCGCAAGCTTGGGGTCCTTGGGGGACTTCTAATTCAGCATCATCTTCACATTGGGACATCTCAGGAAGGACCAAGAGAGTAAGAGAGCACGAGGCTAAAAGAGCTAAGAGCAAGAGGACAAAAGGACAAGAGGGCTAATCTTGTGATCACAGATTTTTAAAGCGTGAAGATGTCACACCCTCTGGAGGTGCGTGAGCCAATGCGAAGCTGCCCCTTTGGAGGGAGTTTTTACGACCCATTGTGTTCTAGCAGGGCATTTGAATGTGTAATTTCATTGGGCGTTTAAGAAAAGAATCTTCACGATTCTTATAATACTAATGCGTCATACAGTTAGTAAAATGTAATGTAAATGAACAAATGGGGGATGAAAATTTGAGTTTAGAGACCAAACATGCCACATAGTAACCAGTCATGTTTCAGACCAAAATGGTTTAGAAGAGAGAACGAAGACATAGACCAAACCACATAAAAGGAAAATCATGAGATGGAAAATTAGATACATGTTAATACATTTATCACATGGTTATATATATATATATAGAATATATAGGATTAAAAGGGTTAATTTCTCCTTCTCAACAAGAATTAAGTCACAATTCCCTGCACATTATTTTGGGTCGTAAAACTTATCAGTCTTACTGTGTCCTGTTACAGGACACTTGAGTTCTGCCAGTGTGTTAGCTTGATTTGGGGGAAGTTTCAAAGACCTTTGTTGGGATAGTGAGTTTGCTGGATTATTCATTAAATATAATGAATAATTTGTGTGTGTCAGATTGGTCCAGACACTACATGAGATACATCCCTTATGAAATGAAGAGATACTGTGGCAAAAGTGATCTCACCTGCATTCTTCCAGAAGGTGGAGCTCTAAGAACCAATTCAGTCTCAGTTCAGATTAAAAACAGAGCAGACAGACTTATATTGAATCACTTATACTCTAGGAGGAAACTGTAAGTCTTGGATCTTAAAGTCATTGTCTTTTATTAGTGCAGATGTTGCTCCTGGTATTCATTATATTTTCTCTTCTAAAAGGTGAGTGATTCATAACAACTACTGTGGAAATATTTTTCCCCATAATTTTTATACTGTTGACAAGTTAAATTTGTCCATTATATTTTTTTCGTTTGTTTGTTTTAAACAGAGAATGCTGCTGCAGACGTGATAACACCATTCTTCACAGATATACAGGTTTTGGAAGGAAAAGATGTTACACTGATCTGCAACTACACTGAACTTGTTCAAAATTTGCAGTGGTACCGTCAGTATCCCGGATCCAAACCTGAGAACCTCATTTTGTTCATTGAGACCAGCCCTAAATCAGAGCCCTCTCTCCGTCTGACCGCTGTAGCTGATAAAGTCATCAAACATATGAATCTGACAATCTCTTCTACAGAAGTCAAAGACTCTGCCATGTACTATTGTGCCCTGGAGCCCACAGTGACAGGAAACACAATTGCACCCTACAAAAACTGAGTGAGAAATGACATTCAAAATAGAAATTCATGATGCTCAATTTAAAAGGAGTTTGTAAACAATATAATATGCTGTATACTAGTGTTGCTTTTCTCTGAGAACAACCAATTTAGCAAAGTGCACATTTTACTTGTTAATTATTGGTAATTTAAGGCCACTTTTATGAGACAAAACACAATATAATTTACAATACATTAATTTAACCAGTACACTGTATGAACTCACATGCTAGAAAAACATTTCTTTAAGCAAAACCTAAAACCAATCAGGAGGTCCCTGACATCAGCTTGTAAAGAAATAGGTTCTAATAATGGAAATACATTAGTATTAAGTATACAAAAATGTATTAAAAAAAATTATTAGGTCTAAAGGACAACATTCTGCAGACAAGACTTTGCTTAACTGACTATCATAACTTTGCTACTTGATTTCTTTGCACAGTAAACATAAATTGTGCAATCAGTCAGATCTTTCTGGACAGTGAAAGTCCTTATTAGGAAAAAAGTGTTACATTCACATACTTTTTAAAAAAGCCAATTTGTTCAAATTATCATTTTCAGTGCATATTTTTATATGCCAAAAAATCTTCAATAAGATCTTGTTGTTTAAGATACACCCCTTATGAAATGAGGAGATATAGTAGCAAAAGTGATCTCACCTGCATTCTTCCAGAAGGTGGAGCTCTAAGAACCAATTGTAGTTCAGTCTCAGTTCAGATTAAAAACAGAGCAGACAGACTTATATTGAGTCACTTATACTCTAGGAGGAAACTGTAAGTCTTGGATCTCAAAGTCATTGTCTCTTATAGTGCAGATGTTGCTCCTGGTATTCATTATATTTTCTCTTCTAAAAGGTGAGTGATTCATAACAATTACTGCGGGAATGATTTCCTCCTTTTTATACTGTTGACAATTTAAATTTGTCCATTAGAAATTATTAATTATTGTTTGTTTATTTGGTTTATACAGATAATGCTGCTGCAGACGTGATAACACCATTCTTCACAGATATGCAGGTTTTGGAAGGAAAAGATGTTACACTGATCTGCAAATACACTGAAAGTGTTCGAAATTTGCAGTGGTACCGTCAGTATCCCGGATCCAAACCTGACAACCTCATTTTGTTCATTGAGACCAGCCCTAAATCAGAGCCCTCTCTCCGTCTGAGCGCTGTAGCTGATAAAGCCCTCAAACATATGAATCTGACAATCTCTTCTACAGAAGTCAAAGACTCTGCCATGTACTATTGTGCCCTGCAGCCCACAGTGACAGGAAACACAACTGCACCCTACAAAAACTCAATGAGAAATGAGAAAATCATAATGCTAAATTTAACTTAATTAAATTAACTTAATTAAACTTAATATAAAACAAGTTATCAGCTATGAAGCTGTTGAACATAATTACGAACATAGAACCACAAACTGTAATTACACCATTTCAGTACGTCCAAACCCTGTCTAAACATATGTTACAGCTTACTTATACTGAAAAGGCAGTATTGTCAGCAGATGCAAACTAGGCTATATCAAGAAATGGCTATGCCTTATTCCAAGGATGATTCTCAGCATACAGTGTACTGTATATTAAATTACACCTCATACACTGACTCTTAAACAATGTAGCTTTGTACCAAAATTTGCACAGAGGAAGAACATGGAGAACTTCTGAAGTATGTGTGAAGCTGTGAAAGTAATATATGAGAATAAGTAGGTGGAGCTAGCTGAGGGGAAAGTCACTGCAAAACAGAGGAACGGCACAATGCCTCCAAAGACAGGAGAGAGATAGCATGCAGTTCTCTTGAGAAAGATTCACAAAAACAATGCTGTTGCTCTGTCCGTTCATACTTTTCTATTATTTTGGTAAGAAATTAGCTTTTATTACTTTTAGTTCCTGTGCTTGGGTAAAAAAAGACAACTACTTTGTTTTGTTTTTTTCCTTTCAGTGCTAAGTAATATGTGCTAAATCTATATGTCTTTACAGGTGAAACTACTGGGTATGGAATCAAATCAGATAACAACACCATAGTTTTAATGGAGGATAAAAACATTACGCTCTCATGCACTTATGAAGGCTCAGTAGACAGTGTAGTGGCAATTTTAATGATATTCATTGATCTTTAGTAAAATATAGATGATTCAAAGAATGTCACATGTGTGTCTCACTTGTAGTGAGAGAAGATTCTGTTTATGTACCTGGGGAGGCAGAAGAGGGAGACACTCCAGAGAACAGACGAACAAGGACCTCTGACCTAGATGTCAGAAGGCCATTTTGGTGCAGGGGGGCTTATTGGGCCAACTAGTGACGTCTATGGAGAACTACTGGGAGGAAGGCTCTGGGGGGAAGAAGGCCTTGAAACTAAGATAAAAGCTAGTTCAGTCTGTCTGGGGGTGGGTCACTCTTCTGCACAGGGTAACAACTGTGTATTAGACTGCTCCTATTCTTGCAAGAATAAATTCTTCTATTTTATATAATTTGACTCTGAGTGTCTCTTACGCAGTGATGTTTGCTTGAGATGAATTTTTGCCACAACAGTTTTGGTGTCAGAAGTGATATTCCTTGGACGTGCCTCCTGGACCTGAGATCGGACGGTGTTTGGCCACCTGGACTAAGTAAGTTCCAGCTCTACCTCGTAAACTTGAGAGAGAGGGGCCGACCGATATCAGGGCCGGGAGAATCGACCACTGGAATCTAAAGAACCCGGTGGCAACAGAAGCATCTCTGGTAAGAGACAGTTCAATTTATTTTCTTTTGGGTAAGTTAATTAAATTCAGTTTAATTGGGGAGAAGAGTGAAATTGAACCATATTGGCTGAAGGCTGTTTCTGTGGTACGTAATCTGAGATTAATTGAGATCTATATAGATCAAGAAATTTCAAACAGATACGAGGGAAAAATCTGAGATTAATTGAGGTCTGTAACAGAACAAGAAATTTCAAGCAGATAAATAATCTGGGATTAAGTGAGAACTGTAACAGATCAAGAGATTTCAAACAGATAGGTACCCTGAAAATTAGTTGTTCCACGACGGAGCAAATTGTTTTTAGGTACTGAGGCTAATTAGGGGGAACCAGAATTTTTTTTGGTAAACCTTAATTAGGAGGGCACTAATAGTGCAACCCGACCGATTTGGGTTAAAAGAAAAGAATCGGATTTGTTTAGGGACGCCTAACAGATTAAAGAAAACGCGCGTTGAAGAGAAATCCACAGAGAACAGAAAACAGCCAGTATGGGGATGTCTCAAAAGCAAGCTTGCGAAATTTGATACACCGGTTTTCTGTAGAACTAGGAAAGTATGGGGGGAAATGTATGTTTTAGAAAAAAAAAAAAAACTGAGAAAATACCATGATCATGAGCTACCATGAGCACAAATAGACTAAGAGTGTGCGAGAATCAGTGGAACAGGGCAGCGGGACAAAAGGTTGTTGTGGCTGCGTTCAATATGTGTGTAAAAAATGTGAACAAATAATGGATTGTTCAGTTGAAGATAAAATGTCGAACTGCCAGGAGAAATAATGTTTTTTACTTCTTCATCCAGTAAATGGATGCATGACATTAGATGTCTATAGAACTTAAATTTATATGACAAGGATTGAAGTGGCAAGAAGCAATAAGGCTGTCTGTGTGAAATAGAGGGAAGTGAAAAAACAAAAAGGTTGGTGTGTGAGATATGTGTGTGTGGGGATTGTTCAAACAATCATGTACTGGTTAGATAATGAAGGAACTGGCATGTTTGAGAAAAGAAAGGAGAGGATAATGAAGGAACTGGCATGTAGGGAAAAGAAAGGAGAAATATAGTAGAAAACTATATGTGATGAAAATAGACATGGTCTGATAGAATTTATGGAAGTTTAAATGATATGAAAAGTTTTAGAATAAAATAAGGCATTGTATGATTGACAGGGATTAACATGATATGAAGAATGTTTTAAGCAGAATGGGGAACAATTCTAGATTTTGATAAAATAATGATTGAAATGATGATATATCTGCTTTATTTTATTAATGTTAAGAAAATAAGATTAAAGAAGCAAGTAGCTATAATGGTTGTCTGTGTAATTTACGGACTGAGTAATATAATCTGTTTTGGGGAAACAGTAGAGATAAGACTGAGACAATAATGTGATGGAAGGAAAAAAGGCTTCAAACCAGTTGTAATGAAAATAATGATGTACAAATTGTTACACTTTATGAAGAGTAACGGAACAGTCCGGGAAAATAAATAAGTAAATAAATAGTGAGACAGAAGAGAGCAAATGCTGTAAACAGCTCTGCTCTGAAGATCTCACTTTGAAGAGATTTGCAGATGATGTTTTGTAAAAGATAAGCTGGGATAACAGCAACAGTACTTGTAATTAGTGTTGTTGATGATAATACCAAATTAGTAAGGTAAAGACAGAAAACAAATTCGAATATTTTGAGCATTTTCTGTGCTGCTCATGAAATTATGTTCTGCCAATAATAATGATGAAGAGTATGATTTGGCTATTGTGATTGAATCCGCCATTGGTGGAGGGTCAAAGGAATACAGAGAACTGCTTATCAGTGGGTCTGTTTACATTCCTGAATGGGACACACACTGCTTCAAGGGCGTGTTAAGTTGAAGCCCTTTGGAAGCTCACAGTGATCAAACTGCAAGGTGTCTGATGCTGTAGATGAGGCTGACACACGAACCAACCAGATGACAGAGATTGTCTTGACTGTGGTCAGTAGGTCCATTTAACACGTGACACACGTCTGATAATAATGTAGGGTTGAGAATAGATCAGTGTTAAAATGACGACAGTGACAATTTTTGGTCTGAGAAATAAGAGATAAAAAACAAGGTCAAAAGATTGGAGTCTTAAAGTGAATCCTTTTGTGACTCCAACAAATGTGAGTTGCAAAATATGTAAAGGTAAGATAGAGAGACAGATCTCAAAGATGATTTATAATAACTGAAAAGATGCAGAGTAGCCTTGTCAAAGTTAGTGTGAATCCTGATTGGAGACTGATAAACTCCTAGAAGAGAAAATTTTGAAGTCAGATATTAAGTTATGGTAATTGAGAACTTGACAACTAAAATTGAGATTGAGAAATGTGAAATGTTATTGAGAACTAGAATAATTACCATTATGTAAGAACAAATAAGCAGATGCAGTAGGCTACTGAATTAACAGTTGCTAAATGTAAAATGTGTTGAAAGGCATTTGATTAAACAAAAAAAGGCCTGCTAGTGTTGACCATGAAAAGAACAGAGCTGATGTTTTGCTTTCAAAAGATAAGTTTGTTATTGGCTGTAATGAAACAGCTCGCTTATCTAAAATCTGATGTGTGCTGTGCCTGAAACTGCCAGTGCGACAGAGACTCATCTGAGTGGAAATTTGTAATGTCTAAATTCCCTGAGGTGGGCAAAAGACAAATATAAATAATATGTTTATTTGAAACCGTATGTAATTTCTGGCAAAGATGCCTTAAGCTGGGATAGAGTTAAAAGATGATAGATAAATGTTTGATGTTAGAAGTATATGAGAGAGCAGTGTACCATCCAATAGAGTCTCAGAGTCTCTCTCATTCAATGAGTCAGCTAAAAGCTGGTATCTGTGATAATGTAAAGCACAGTGTTTCAGTTGAAGATCATAGACACAGAGATGTTTTAAAAATAAAACTGAATGACTTTAAAGAAGTATTTAAAATAATAATACAGATAGAGATGACATTTTGATTAGGTTAATTTAGGACCAGTAACTTCTTTGTCTCATTTAGTCTCCACCATTCAGGACCGATGGCTCCGGCTACAGATGAAGTACACTGAATGTACGGTTGTGATCTAAATTCACTGAGTATAATCCAAGTAGCTAGGTTGCTGCTTTTAAGATAGTTAATGGATTTAAGTGATTAAATACTGTTGTTATTGACCTGTCTCCCTATGTGAACACTATTAGGCAATCGGAATGGCTCTGGTGACTCTTGAACGTGCCTTTCCTAAGCTCTAGAAAACAGCTGAGTTCTGTTGAAGCAAACAGCCTGTGATGGGAAAGAGCGGTCACCAGTGTGTACAGTGGCTACTCAATGACGGGTTTGATCTTCCTGGCCAGGGGACAGCCTAACGCAGGGGGCCACGAACATTGGGCACCTCCGGGATGGAGGTGTTATATGTGAGAAAGGTATGAGAGTTGAGCGCTGATTACTGGAGGCCACCGGGGTCAGCAGAGCATTGAGAGGTGAGATGCGCTGTGAGGAACAGTCACGGCGGTCTGACCCAGAAAATGTGAGTTCCTCTATTTACCACTCGCCAGAAGAAACCGCATTCATTGTATGGCTTGTTTTTTTTATTGTGACAAGCGTCTGCAAATATGCCA